TAAGAACATAATCAAATGACCTTTTCCCAAAGAACCTTTTGCACTATGGAACAGTTCCATGGATGTTTAAAGTTCTTCATATAACCATTGATGCCAATGAAGAAGATTTTTTTTTTTTAAGTGTGTAATGTCAACTCAACTTAAAACGATCAGTCGCATGGTAAATCTGTATTATATGCATTATAGAGCTTTCTTATTCTCTTTAAATGGTAGATCCCTATTTATATCTATTTTATACATTAATAAACCAAAATATATAAAAGGTATTAAAACATGGATTACACCAATGTCTTAGAACCTCAATTGAAAGTTTCACTAAGCTTATAATCGAAATCATGTGACAGAAGAGAGGTATCTGTCCTCAGCTGCAGGTTTACAAACATTTATATATACAGTATAATAGATTACATTATATTTTGGAATATCGTCATGGTCTGAAATGTTCTCTTTTCTTAAAATATCAGTGAAAAAAAAAAGGTAAATATAGTGCGCCACATATCAAATAGCTATATACTAAAATAGCTCTTCAAATAAGGGCCATCTTTGTACACATATTGTAATATCCAAAATGCACAAAAGAAAGATTAAACTTACCACAAAAACAATGAAGCAAGAGCTGTCATTCATCAAAGTAAACAACGCAATACAAGCAATAAAGGGATTTATTTAGCATAATAATTATGATATGGTTTATAAGATCCATGTGCACCAGCATGAGTTGTTTTTTTGTTTTTTTATCAAAACTTAACATGAAAAATTGTCATTTTAACAGTATACGTATTACAAAAAACAATGACAAAACAAACTTTAAATTATTGGAAAACCATTTTCCTTTGTGCTCATGACCATCGATGAGTTTTCATCTAGACCCACCCTGATTTTAAGGTTTGTTAGAAAGGCAGAGGTAAAATGAGTGTATCCTTTTAAATATGTACAGTATGTACTCATTCATATTCATGAGCACAAGGAAAAGCTGAGGCAATTCAGAATATTGCAATATTGCAAGCTCTCTACTACTAAATAATAACAAAGGGATCTGGGATAAGATGAAAAGAGACAGAATACACAAAATGGAATTGCAGAGTGTGAGAACAAAATACTTTTAAAACAAAATTAGGCAATTAGCAATTTAAAAAAAAAAAAAAAAAAAAGCAAAGTGAGGGACAAAAATAGTCAAGCAAAGAAGTAAAAGAGAACAAAAGGAGTACCGTGCCTGTCTGAGAACTCCATCACTCTGCTCTAGAGTTACAATACTGCAATACTCTGAATTCATTCCTGACAGACGGCACCATCTGGATTCAGTTGTTCCACCTCTGGTAGTGGTACAGGAATCAAATCACACCTTAACTACTTCCCCACTGGCCCCAAAACTCTCCATCGGTTTTTCCAGCGACCAAGGTGACACAGGTATTGCAGCCAGCAGAGGGTGTACTGATCATTTCCTAAAACTGTTGACCAAAGGAATAAAGAGTAAGAGAGGTTAATGGTGTGACGGTGAATTGAATTCTCATTCAATTAAATCATATTACAAAAGAACTCACATTTTTGAGGAACTCCTCTGCAACTATGCGAGCCCTGGCATTGACTGAGAGTTTCATCTCACTGATTTCCTTATCGATCTCCTCCATAAAATTGATGACAAAGTCCACTAACTTATGCTTGTACATTTGTTCTGTGTGGAAGTTAGTAATTAGGAAACTGATGTCATATCCCTGACAGAAAAAGAAAGGTGTAATAATAAATGTGAACATTTCACAACAGAGAATTTTAGATGTTTGTTAGCAAGATGCTATTTTAATAGCAGCAAAAGGACAGCACTGTACGTGCATTGCAAACACCAGGCTTTTTAACAAAAGAAATAGTGTTAGTAAGTGTCTTCCTCTGCTCTCACCTCCACAGCTTTTCTCCGCAGGATGAAGAAGTTCTCAGCTCTCATCATCATGAAGCGCATGAACTTGTGACACAGGATCTTTTCGATCTCATCAGCCTTCAATGGACCAGTTGAGGTGCATCATCCAATCACAGACCATTAAAGATATAAACAACTCATCAAACTGGATTCTTAGCTTGTTGTAATATATAGTATGCATAGCTCATATAACTGCCTACACTTGTGGTTTTCAACACAACCATATAGAATTAGATGTTTTTTGTATTTCAGGTGTAATTATGATAAAACTGCTTTTTTTATTAACATAAATTGGACGCATTTACATATTAATCAACCTTGATTGTGCTTTTTAGTACTTTAATTTAGATTACAGTTAAAATATTTTCAAATATTTTAATAATCATTTATTCACTCATTAAATTAAATTCTATTAAATTAAATTAAAAATTAAAATCAATCATTAAATTCTGTGGCCCTCATGGAAGTTTGCAGCGGCCCCTTGGTTGAGAACCACTTGCATGCTGCATTCAGTGGACTAAATGTGTTCAAGTCAGAGTGAAACCAAACTCCCTCGCTTGTCTCACCACCACCACAATACTTCTCTTTTTGTATAATTAGTTGCATTTTCAGTATTTAATATATATATACATATTTAAAGACTCTCAAATATGTCAGAAAGGACAGCAAGAATGAGTTTAGGGCAAAACAGCAAATGCACTTACCTGTTTGACAGCAATGCTGACTCGCACAGAGTTGATGGAACCTTCTATCAGAACCTTCTCTTTATCATTCCTACTGATCACAACAGGCTGAAGCAAAAGCTCTTTACTGCTCCTGGTGAGATGATTAGACAAAAATGGTAAAGCATACGCACGTGCTGTATACTGCAAACTTATGCTAGTATGCTCTTTCGAAATATCTAGAACCTTTAAGACGAGGTCATGTAGGCCACTCACCTATATGAACCATGTAACTTTTACACACAAATAAAACACATATGCAAACAACAGTCACACACACTTACCGGACTTCAACCTCAGGTTTGTTGTGTCTTTCGACCACCTGTGAGGAGAAGTTTTCCAGACAGAGAGCTGCCTGCAGTGTAGCACGCACCGCATTCAGATACGGACGCAGAGTCGCCGTCTGACAAAACAAATCAAACTAAATCAGTACTCAGGAGGATGATGAACCATGTCTGCAACCTCACAGCAAGCGAGCACATCACAAACGGCTCACAAGCTCTACTCTAATTGTTCCACACACACGCCTGAACCTGCAGGGGAATTCTTGGGATACTGTCCTCCTCCACTAACCCTTAGAAGAAGAAAAAAAAAAACTATGCTCTACTACTAAGTAACTCAGTGAACCTACAAACACCATGACTCTCTTCATAGACAGCCTGAAGACTGTCACTTCCTGAACTTATATGCAAGTCAAGGAGGAAGTGCATACCCTTCTGCATGAAAAATTATACATTTTTAAAACACTGACCCCGTGGGCTTCCTTGAAATTTGAAAGAGCTCACTGCATTGGACTAGACAATGAAAAATACATTTGTCTGTACATAATTCATACTTCTAAGGCAAGCAAATATTGTTATGCAGCAAATGTTTTAATACTGAATAGCTGCGATGAGCACCTATATTACATGTACTTGTCATATTTAGACAAGAGGCAATGAACATAGGAGTAAACAGCAATCAGATCGATAGATCTGATCGCGTTTATACAAAAATGTAACAACACTGAAGAATAGCAGAAGGAGAAAACACTGATATTTGATAAAAAACGGCTGGATACTAATTATTTGCTCGCTGTTAATATACAGGATGAAATTAGATTAATTTGAGTTGGCTTGCCCATGATAAACAAACCCAAGATTACAAAGCGCTGGCAATGTTACAACATACTAAATGTGATAAGGTCAAATAACTATTAGTCAACCCGCGACTGGGGAATTGGGGTGGGGATCTTAGCTAGTGGTTTAGCACTACGTGCCTTCATTTCAATGCAGAAACAAACAACAGCAATCGGGGGTTTGTGACACGACGATGTTATAATTCATTTAATAAAATATGCTATATATACACAAAAAAATGTGTCTTTTTTTCGAAGTGCTAAATGGAAATCTTACCATTTCTGTGTACCCGTTGGAGAAGACGGAAGTGCTACAAACACCCGGCGACTTCCTCGATTAACGCCACTCATCGGAACATACCAACATTTCACTAAATAGGGGTGACGAGAATATAATACTAATGGACTTTTTTTTGGCCTGCTGTTGAAAAGATGTCTTTAAGTGCTTCATTATCTGGCATTACTCGTGTTGCATTATTGGTTTGAAATTGAGATGTATACCTTGATACATTGAAATCGCTGAAGTTACAGTGATGCGAAAAAGATGTAATCGTTGTTGAAACTCAAATTTCTCATGCAGTTACACACAAATGAACAATACGTAACGATCTTACTTGTAGACATAAATACACTTACTTATATATATGTATATATGAAGAGTTCAGATGCAAAAGCCTCTAAATGCCATTTGAAATTTTCTTCTTTAATGATGATTTTTATCAAACTTGTATATTTAAGTTCAGTAATTTCACTTAAATAACAATTAATAGGTAATTATCATTGCCATTTAAGTGAAATCACTGAACTTAAATATACAAGCTTGATAAAAATGATCATTCTAGAAGAAAATTTCAAATGGCACTTAGAGGCTTTTGCATCTGAACTCTTCATATAGGCTCTATATATAATTGCAGAAGAGAAATCTCTGCCCAGGGTTAGTGGTGGCAGCACTAAAAACCTTTTTTTTTTTTGTATATACAGTACTATTTTATCTTCATTGCATTACCCCCTAATAGTATTGGATCATTTTCTAAGTTCATGAGGGTAAAAAACACATATGAAATTACATAAGAGAACTTTTCTCTTTTTACCAAATATTTTGCCATGATGATTTCAATTGTTTTTTGTATCGCCACTTTATACTTTTGACAGCAAAACCGCCCATGGTAATACAATGAAATTGAATTAATAATCTAATCTTCCTATTTGCCTGTAAGCCATCGCCATTTTCCCTGCATCAAGAATGAAGTCATTTGTATTTTAAAAACAGAGGTTTATTTGGACATAGCTATTACAGTCCAGAAACAATGCATATACAGAGCAAATAAAACAAATTTAAAAAACAACAACACTGTTCTAATGCTAACAAATATTTACAAAGCGGTTGGTATTTAGCCTACATCAGACAAAAGCATGACGTCTCACAGAAACTGAAGTGGGTGTGTCTCTAAGAAGCAGTTTCTAGAAAAACTGCATCCAAATCCCCAAATTAGCTAGCACACATAAAATCAACAGCGATATTTTCAAAGAATAGACCAAATTATTTTTTTTAACTCATCTTGTCAAGCTATACAAAAATATAATTCTCCAATTCCAAAGAAAGTCTATTTTGTTTTATTTGCCTTGGTTGCCTTCTTCGCTGCGACTTTTGGCTTTTTTGCGGCTGCTTTCTTCGGTTTGGCAGTCACCTTCTTAACACCAGCCTTCTTAGTCGTCTTTTTAACTGAGCTTTTTTTGGCGGTCTTCTTTGCACTCACTTTCTTGGTCACGGCTTTTTTGGGCGCAGACTTGGCTGGCTTTTCCGTCTTCTTGGCTCTTTTCTTTGGCTTTTTCTCAAATTTCTTTTTATTGAGTTTGAACGAGCCGTTGGCCCCCAGTCCCTTGACCTGCACGAGCGTGTCGTTGAGCAGGAGCGCGCGGATGGAATAGCGCAGATACATGCGACCGTTCTGCTGATCAAACCAGCTCACTTTCTTCGCTTCATTGTATATCTTGAAAAGCGATGAGCCGTTTTTCTCGCCCAGGGTTCGGATCGCATCAGTGACGAGCTGGCTGTACTTTCCGGGCCCCTTACTCTTCTTTTTCTTCTTTTTAGCTGGAGAGGCACTTACGACAGGCTTTGCCTTATTTCCCGTTGCCTTCTTTGTTTTGGTTGCTGCTACTGGAGTAGGGACTTGGGCGGGTGCTGATTCTTCGACCTCAGTAGACATGATCAAACTCAATGCGAAAATGTGTTGTTATTGTTTTTCGAGAATGCGAGGATGTCAGCTCAGAGACGCGAGCATTATCTCAGAGTTTTCAATCATCAGATTTAACTGCAATACGCGGACGTGATTGAAAACAACAACACTCTCGGGCGAGGCGCTTGTGGAGTTGTGTTTTCTACCACGATTTTGGGAGCTATTATCTTGTTTATTTGACATACATTGTGATTTTAAATGACCCATGATGGGAGTATAAAAGCTGTTCTTTCCGCAAGTGTGCACAATTCATTAAATAAACGCAACACGGTGGCGCGAGAAAGCAAAGAAAAGATATTACCCACAGAATGCCTTGCGATTTGGGGTAGGGGCACCTACTTTGCGAATGAAAACCTTTTTGTGGATATGGAGTCAGTTCGTGCATTAAACTTGCTATGAAAAATTAGAAATGAAAGATTCTAGAATGATACTACACAGTCCGCGATTACAAAATGAATTCTAGATACAAGCAGTTTAAATTACCTCAACTAACACATTAAACGCCCTCACGTGGCTGTGTATTGGCAAACTTTTTCTTTGCTATTCTCTTTCCTGGAGACTTACATTGAATTCTTCTGTGCCTATTTGTGAAACTATTTTGTGAAACTACTTTTTTATAACTAAACACATGAAACGTGTTTGGTATGTTATTTTGCTCAAGTAAAATGCTATTTTAATCACACTTCATGTTTTCAAATGTTTATTAGGCTATATTAAAAGGTGTTGCTAGAATTTTAATGTGTCTGACTGTTAGTTACTAGAGGAACCAGACTAAACTTTAAAACTTTCTAGCCGTTTTGACAATCTGGACAAAGCCTGGTAAATTAATTTAAAATTTTGTTTGAAAGCGAGTCTAACAATGCATTTTCCTGAATGTTGCGGGACCTGTATGAATTTGTCTTTTACTAACTTCAGGGGTCGCCACAGTGTACATTTCTATTTAGTCCTATAGCCAAAGGTTCGGTTAATAAAAACAAAATCAAAGGAATATCTTCATAATTATTATTACATCTATAAATGGAATTCACTTATCTGGGATCTTATAAACAAAAATGTATATCAGTTTGAGAGGGAGAATCTCCACATGCCATCATCACATACAGTCAGCACTAGATGGCAGTCTATCTACTCATACGGGTTTGTGTTGTGATTGTAGACATGTTGACATCTTCCAAACATTAGAGTATCATAGGTGATAACAGGCCACAGACCTCTAAACTTCATTACAAATTAACTCATGTCTTACCTTGTTGCACTGCACCCAAATGAATTACACTTCGATGAGAAAATCATAATAGTGATTTTTCACAAAGTGTTGAACAAAAGCCATGCATTGACTGTAATGTTGGTTAGCACATTTACAGTTACACTATTGTTATAGCCACTTCCTGTAGCACATATGCACACAAAGAGCAAACTCCTGTCAATAAAATAGGTCTAGCACCTTCCCCTTGCAGACAGAGAAAGGTTAAAGGTCAACATGTAGAGGATTGCAGAGGTCGTCCTATTTAAAAGAGTTGTCCTTCCCTGCCCACGTATGAGTGTGTGTATATGTATCTATATTAGTGTGCAGCTGTCTGTCTTTCTTGAATACGAATGTTAAAAGAGGAATTCCAAGTTTTATGACCCTTAACAAACTCAGTAAACTTTACACACACTCCAAAACAGGACACACACAGTGAAGAGGCTGAGTTAAAACCTGAAGAGGATGTTTATCTTCCCTTTTAAATATGATTGATTGAGAGTGTGTGATAATTCGTTGATTCTAGATGGATTTGATGGGGAAAATTCATACGATCGATGGTGAGTGTTTGAACGTGTTTTGTAAAGCGGATAGGTTAGAGAGTGTGTTTTAGGGGGTGGGTTTAAGGTGCATGTCAGACACCAAAGAAGAGCCTCAGTTATCTAAGAATCTGAGCCAAAAGAGCCTCACAAACAGACGGGAGCGTTGAGGAGAGAAAGAGGGAGGGATAGAGGAGAGAAGATCAAATAAAAGAGAAAAACAGGAAGGGAGACTCCGACGGGCATACCGAGAAAGAAAGACAATGTGTAGGACTTGATCTTCTGCAGATGATACTGCTTAAGATCTGAAGAGAGAAGAAAAGTCAGTGACACAAGAGCATTGCTAGGGGAAATCCCGTTGAAATTAAGTAGTAGAAGAAGATAAAAAGAGAGGGAACAGGTGCATACTATCTCTTTGGATTTCTGTAGCAGCCTGAGCAGCATGTATGTGCGTGTTGTGATCCTGTTTTGGCTGGGAGCGTACATGATGTGTGTATGTGTGCTGTGTCAGAGGGACATCCTGGTGGCCGGACCCCCCAACAGCAAATGTGAGGGGAGCTGCAGTGCAACGGCATCACCCCCTAAAATACATCACCCTCACCCTCAGGACGCACGACTCAGAAAGACTCCACAGGTAAGCATGACCTAATACATATATGTAAACATTGAGAGGCCATTATTATATTTTTGGTAACACTTTACAGGGTCTCATTTAGTAACATTGGTTAATGCATTAGCTACAAAATGAGCATTACATTTTTACAGTATTAATTAATCTTATAATAAAAATGCAGTTTTTATTTCCATGTTAGTTCACAGTCCATTAATACTAACAGGTACAACTTTCGATTTAAAAAAAAATTTACTAGTTAATGTTAAAATTAATGTTAACCATTATCAAATGCGGGGAAAGTATTGCATTGCATGTTGTTTTTTTTTTTTTATATTAATAAAAAATATGAGTTTTGAGTCAGTGTGTTGCGAGGTAAATATATAAGGACTTGATCCATTCCATTTCAGTAATCGCCCTAAATACTTTGCATTTGAGACAGCTAAATAAATAAGTTGATAAGTGTCCTGGAGTCCCCTAAATATTAAACATTTTAATAGTCACCTTTTGTATTTACCCAAAAGGGGAAAAAAATGCATTTGTGTCATTTCGGTCAATGTCAGAAAATATTTCATGAATTAGAAAACAAGCATGAGATAACATTAACTACTCTATACTATTATCTATGTTGATTTTGACACTTACAGATAAAGTGTTAGGATATGGAGACTTCATATACAATGTTAAATATTATGACTGAGATTAAAGATACACATACTTGTTTTTAATTGTCTGTGTATGCCCTGCAGGTGTCTGATACATCTGAACGTCTCATCCAGCTGCAGCGCTGTATGCTACAACATGAATCAGTGGCTGTGAGTCAAAGAGATGGGTCTGACTCACTAGTAGCCTTTCTGGCTCTTATGGCAGCAGTGCTGACAGAATGTGACCTCCACTGCCATAGTCAGAGACTCAGACAGATGGCCACCAGACTTGGTTATTATATTCCACAACATATGCCACTCGCATCCACCTAAACACTTACAGTTCCTTCTTAAATGATAGGACTAGCTTAAATAAAGCACATTAATGTGTGCTTCCAATGTGTTTTATGAATTATAACCACTCATTTTCATTATTTATTGATTCTTTCATTCCTGGAGTTCTCTCAATTAAGTTAACACCCAATTTACACTCGGCAAACAGAAGTGTTCTTAGGAATGTAAGAAAACTGACCCTTGACAGCCTTTATTTGACCCTCTCACAACCTTTCTCTAACCTTTGTATAACCCCACAACAAACTCTAACCATCCTGAAATAGCCAACTAGCAAATATTCAATTAAATAATACTTGAAAACTATGTACATCATATTGCTTTGCATTTGATGGTTAAAGGAAATTACAAACGAACCGTCAGGAATAATCATCATAATTGTGTGTTTTAAGTTTTATGCTATATTTGTTTGTCTAAGGGACAAGCTCTCTCTCTTTCTCGATCATAGAAAGTTTAGTGGGCAAAAATGGGGAGAAAGATTTGCTGCTGTTGCTGAAAAGTATCACACATTCTAAACCTAATGGCCACAGACCAAGGACTCCTACAGGTGAGCTATATACAGACAGATGCAGAACAAACACCCTATGTTGTTGTACTACTAGAACATTTATTGCACAAATGTTGACAGATGTTTTGTTTGGGTCTATATGGCAGTGCCTCCCTCTGCAGGGCTTTACCCTCAAGACTGTCATGAGATCTACCAATTAGGAATTAAAGAGAACGGGATCTACACCATACAGCCAGATCCAAAGCGACCAGCATTAGAGGTACAAACATTAAAGTCTGCAGAAACCCAAATCCATTTATATCAGATTACATCTATTCCACAAATATATTTTGAAATCTAATCCATGTCCAGAGTGAAGTAAAGGGATAGTTCACCCAAAAATAAAAATTAAACTCAATTAAACTTATACAAACCCATTTGAGGAGCACAAAAGAAGATATTTCGATCACTGGGGTGCGAAAAAGTGTTCATTAGTAAAGTGTAATACTTTTGAGGGGCACAACGCATTCTCATCCTAGGGCGCTATATAGTGACGCTTTTGACATTGCGTCTAAATCCGACGCACATGGCACATCCATATAACGTGCTTAGGTTATGGGTGGGTTTGGGTCTGGGGTAGGGTTAGGATTAGACCACTAGGAGGCGCCTTCTGGCCCATATATATCTGCGTCTCATATTGAGGCTAAACGGTGCCATGTGCATCGGATGTAGACACAATGTGATTTCTTTTTCATTTGTCTTTTCCAGGCTATGTGTGACATGGTTTCAGCTGGTGGGGGATGGACAGTGTTCCAGCGGCGGTTTGATGGACAAATTGACTTTAACCGAACCTGGCAGGAGTACCATGACGGATTTGGCTCCCCGCAGACAGAGTACTGGTTAGGGAATGCAGTTCTATCCGTGTTAACCGCAAGTGGGCATCACACGCTTCGCATCACTCTTCAGGACTGGCACGAACAGACACGTCATGCTAACTACAACACCTTTAAAGTGGGAGGAGAAAACCAGAGGTATATGCACATTGCACACACAGACATAGATATCTAAAATCTAGGGTCAAAACCTGTTGACAAAACATTTGTATCAAAAAGATGGAAATTAATTAAATTTCTTATCATGATGTATTCGTGATATTCTCTCCATAAGGTTCCGCCTAACTGCTCGAGATTACCATGGCGATGCTGGTAATGCATTCAGTTATAGCAAACAGTACAACCACGATGGAAGAGCTTTCAGCACATATGATCAGGATAATGACCGCTACACTGCTGGTAACTGTGCTGGTTACTATGGTGCAGGATGGTGGTTTGATTCCTGTTTGGCCGCAAACCTCAATGGACGCTACTACCACGGGCGTTACAGCGGCATCACGGATGGCATCTACTGGGGCACCTGGTATATCCTGACTGACTATCGCACAGGGGAAAGATACTCATTTAAGAGTGTTGAAATGAAAATGAGACCAAGGCAGAGCTAAGAATTTATCTTTTTTTTTTTTTTATGAGATGTTGACATGTAATCATACTCCTGCACTGTGTATTTCCTTTCAATAAATAATTCCTTTCAAATATTTCTTTTTCTTTGTAATATCATAACTTGGACCTGTCAATATATTGAACTTGAGATATTTAGATATACAAACCGGTTTATAAACATTTATTTTAAAATAAATATCAAATCCCCAATTTTAAGCAGTCTCCTTTTCTCAGTGTACACTCACCTAAAGGATTATTAGGAAGTAACACCATACTAATACTGTGTTTGACTCCCTTTTGCCTTCAGAACTAGCTTAATTCTACATGGCATTGATTCAACAAGGTGACGAAAGCATTCTTTAGAAATGTTAGCCCATATTGTGAGGAGAGCATCTTGCAGTTGATTGAGATTGGTGGGCTGCAGATCCAGGGCACAAAGCTCCGGTTCCACCACATCCCAAAGAAGCTCCTTTGGGTTGAGATTTGGTGACTCTGGGGGCCATTTTAGTACAGCGAACATTGTCATGTTCAAGAAACCAATTTGAAATGATTCAAGCTTCGCTACATGGTGCATTATCCTGCTGGAAGTAGCCATCAGAGGATGGGTACATGGTGGCAATAAAGTGATGGACATGGTCAGAAATAATGCTCAGGTAGGCCATGGCACTTAAACGATGCCCAATTGGCACTAAGGGGCATAAAGTGTGCCAAGAAAACATCCCCCAGACCATTACACTACCACCACCAGCCTGCACAGTGGTAACAAGACATGATGGATTCATGTTCGGATCCATGTTCTGTTTAAGCCAAATTCTGACTCAACCATCTGAATGTCTCAGAAATCAAGACTCATCAGACCAGGCAAAATTTTTCAAGTCTTCAACCGTCCAATTTTGGTGAGCTCTTGCAAATTGTAGCTTCTTTTTCCTATTTGTAGTGGAGATGAGGGGTACCTGGTGGGGTCTTGTGCTGTTGAAAGCCTATCCGCCTCAAGGTTGTGCGTGTTGTGGCTTCACAAATGCTTTGCTGCACACCTCGGTTGTAACGAGTGGTTATTTCAGTCAAAGTTGCTCTTCTATCAGCTTGAATCAGTCGACCCATTCTCCTCTGACCTCTATCATCAACAAGGCATTTTCGCCCACAGGACTGCCACATACTGAATGTTTTTCCCTTTTCACACCATTCTTTGTAAACCCTAGAAATGATTGTGCGTAAAAATGCATGTTATTGATCTTATTGTGTTCTTATTTAGTCTGCTTAAATCTCCTTTCTTACAATCAACTCCAAGCTTGCATCCAGCCAATATGCCTTCATCCAAGCAATAACTGATGGACCCTACAGTTTTTTCCCCATTTTGATAAAAATATCTGTTGCAACTTCCCTTTTATTGTGACTTTAACTTATGGCTCTCTGGAATTTGTTCCTCCAAATTTGTCTGTTGTCAAATACCATATACTTTTTGGTAACATATACTGTATTTACTATACTCTACTAGTAACTTTGCAGGTACATCATGTCAAATAGAGTATTAGTAGACTGTCTGCTTAATATCTGAACTTTATTCAGACATTCTACAAACCCTAACCTAGCAGTCTACTTATACTCTAATGAGAGTTGGCTGATAGCTGCAAAGTTATAGCTGGTAGGATGTCTAAAGTGGAATATCGAAATTAAGTGTAACCTATCTGTCCAACTGCTCCAGTTTCACGTCAACACGAGTTTATTTTACGATAATGACTGGCTGACTGTATATTATCTTCAAAGCTAAAATCATTCACAATGCAGAGGTCAAAGTTCAAAGGGTTTAAAGTGACCCTTGTGAATGTGCTGCACTTATAATTAAATTAAATCTAAAATGATCCACAGCAATGTTTCCACATATCAACTGAAATTAATGCAAACAGCAAACCAGCATAAATGGGTCTCCAATGGCTGTGTTTTATACGCTCAGCTCATTTCTACCCGTAAACATTCTCTGTTCAGTCTCCAGATGAACGACAGCCATACCAAAACTATCCTGCCACTGACACGTTCAAAGCCATAAATCCTTATTACATTTTCCACTAAAAGGGATAACAGTAAAGTGTGGACGCACTGGGTTTGGGGGCAAAACAAATGTAAAGGGTTTCTTGTAAGCCACTGCGGTCAGAGTGTTGAAAGTGCGATGGCATCATAGGTTACAAAATGTAGACAAATAAACTCACATGCACATGGCATTAACAAAACAGCCGAAATAACAGAAAGTGTGTGTGTTACAGAGGGCGAACAGGGGGAGTGGGAATCTGTTGAATCTGCCTCTTTTAGCCATATTCACAAAGAGATGCCAGTCTGTTCAACACGCTCTCAGTATCTATGAATACCTCTTTGCCCATGATCTGCTGACTACCAACCAGATATGATATTTCACGTACACTCACTAACATACACATTCAAACACACAAAGTCATGCTGTAGTTGTAGTACATAGCAGTTTAAAGACAGTTTCTATGGAAGTCCATTTAGCCAAATTAGAAAAAAAATCATGCTTTGTATATCATAATTACGAGATAAAAAGAGAAATGATGACAGTCCTAATTATGACACAGAAAGTTACAATTATTGTCATAATTTTTACTTTTTATATCACAATTCTAACTTAGTAAGCTATGTCATGTTTTTTATGCCATAATATGTCATGATTGACATTAAATGAATTACTGACAATTTAATTACGATTAGTTGAGTTATTTACTCTGGTATTTATGACTATTTATGTCTTTGCAACTCAACTTTTCATCTCATAAATTTGACTTAATAGGTCATCATTTTTAATGTAGGGATCCATTAAGTGGCATGAGTTTTGTCAGGCCTGTGTCTACTAGAAGACAGGACATCGGAAAATCATTTTGCACGGGGGTTTGATGGTAGTTTCACTGTCACGGTCAGTCTTTATTATACAACCTAGAAATACAGCTTTATTTACATTTTAAGTGTGTGTAAGGACCACGAGGATTTGATGTTTACCTACAAATGCAGACAATCTCACAAGCGAATGGCATTGGTACAAGCCTCTCATTTGTGGATATTCGGCCCACCATTTTTGTCATCTTGTTTGTCTGGCTGGTAAACGAACCAGTCGGATCAAAATCAGGACAAGCATAGTTACTGTCAATGAAGGCTTCTCTGCTCTTCTCGTTTTGACCATTAAGATCACTATGGTGGAGCAGAAGCCAGATCGACTGTCACCACAGTATCCTGGCTGAGAGCGTGGCTTGTATGATAAGGAGATAAAAGGAGTGATGGAGAGAGAGATTAAGGGAGAGGGAGAGGGGGAACTGACAGTCTGCAGGCACCCAGTCCGGAAACCCAAAGCGGGCAACAGTTACCCAGCACATCCCCTTAAAGCTGAAACACTCATGCACGCATTCACTTAATCTCTTACCACACATTTTTGCATTCTGCACATATAGTGGAGAAAAGCTTGTGTGTATTTGTCCCCAAGGAGCTTTCAATATCTAGAAATTTGTTTCAGAAGCAGACTTTGCAAAAGATGAAAAGGTACTTAATATGATTCAATCTTTGATATATTATTTTTTTTATATCTAAATAAGATAAGAAATATCTATATTTGTAATTATTTATGCTAATTAGGAAGGTAAATAAAAAATACGGCCTAAAGTCGTTAAGCATGTTCTCTTAGTGCAAATTGCCATAATTCTGAATGCAGAGAATGGCCAGAAGATGGCAGCTTTGAGTTAAAAATGACCAAAATCTGACCACCAGCACTTTTTTTTGATTGAAGCATGGTAAAGGTGCTTAGTGCCATCTCAGCAGATTTTTAATATAAGTCCATTATGGCTTAACATAATAACGACCAGGGAACAACCATTGAGTTTCACCCAGTTCACATTATTCACCCTGTCTCCTCTCCACCAATAAGCTGATGTGTGGTAGGCGTTCTGGCACAATATGGCTGCCGTCGCATCATCCAGATGGATACTGCACATTGGTGGTGGTTGAGGAGATCCCCCCTTCCATATGTAAAGTGCCTTAGAAAAGCGTTATATATATATATAAATGTTTGATTTGAGCTGCTCTTGTCCCCACCGCTCACTAAAATACCTTTTTTGTTTCGCTTTCTTTCATATTAATTATGTTCCTTTTATCCTACTGCCATTCATTTACACAACCAAAACACACTGATATAGTTGTTTAATATGGCACTATGTCTTGTTAACAGATAGCAGTTACTTTGCTCATGATCTTGCGAACTGTCACTTTTAAATCTTTAGAAATCAGTGAGACTCATTCTCTGATTTAATGGTATATCACATATTCCATAAAGTTGCAAAGTGACTTTTGAAATATCTTAGATGCTTATGAACATGATTTGAACAGGAACTCAATGCTAGGACTTCCTAACCATCGATAAAAAGATCCTTAAATCTAGCTTTGGCTAATTCACCTAGAATGGGCCTTCAGGAAGAACTGCTACTTTGCTGGCATCCCAAGATACACACCATCTTTAAACAATTTCACACATGAATACATACTTAGGTTTGAAAGAAGCAAGTATGCTCATTTAAAATGTGTCCTGACTGAAATCTGAAGCATCTGCTCTGTTATGTGTGATGTTGCTCTGGTAATTGCCTGCACAATGTGTGTGGGACATGAAATTAATTGGTTGCATTGGGAGTGGCTGCACTTAACGAATGTAACACGTGAGCAAAAGCAAGTGTCCGTTACAGCACCTGTCCATCTGTCTGAAGAGGGATGTGCATGTGTATGACACACACATTGCGGTGCACCAGCGCTCCGTTTCATACCGGAATTCAGGCAGCAGCCCTGTATCCTGATGTGGTGAAAACCAGGCCTGCAAGGCATTCTGGGTATGGGAGGGGGAGAGGGTTATTCACACTACAACATCTTCACACACATTCACAAACAGGTGGACAACATTTACACAAACACTGAAATTTTTTATGATTTACGCAGAAAAGACACCTGTATGATTTCAGATATCAATCATTCAAAATCATGTCTGAAATTGTAAATAATTATAATAGAAGAACATCTTGGTTTCATAATTAAAGCCCTCAAAAAGCTGTAATTTGATATGCTTAACTGTGGTTTCATAAAAGACTGACAGCATATTTGGTGTGTCATGTAATCAATATCTAATCTAACATATATCCAATCTAATATCAATAATATTTCTTTACAGAACAAAAAAAGTATTAACAATACAATTTGTGCAAAACAAAAACAAGGAATTTACAAAGATCTAACTTATCTTTGTTAGAACTCATGATCTCAGTGAAAGTAAAATGATGACTAGACACCATTGTTAATGTGCATATATTATGGGTAGTTTAATATTCCCTTCTGATAAAAGGAAAATATGATTGGCAGGTTGTTACTGCAGTATATAGGCTGTTAATACTCCCTTCCTTATTCTCTTTTGCGGAGGAAATGAAAAGGCAATTAAGGAATCATGGGCTACATTGTTCAGCTCACTCAACAAGCAGAGAGAGAAGAGAGAGAGAGAGAGAGAGAGAGAGAGAGAGAGAGAGAGAGAGAGAGAGAGAGAGAGAGAGAGAGAGAGAGAGAGAGAGAGAGAGAGAGAATAAGAGAGAGAGAGAGAATAAGAGAGTTCTAGGTTCAAATGTTTATCATACAATCAGATTTTTTAAAAAGCTGTCACTGTCACTAGGATGGTACCCTTTAAAAACATGATCTATAGTCCTTCATAAAATACAGGGTTTCAAAGCAGCTTTACAGTGATAAAAATGCATTTCGGTGTTGATTCAGTTCTGTTGTAAAACAGCGTCAGTACAGTCAGATCAATAATATTCTTGAATATTAATAATATGTAAACTTTTGGTACCAATATGTACTTTTGAGCTACTAATATGCACTCTTTAGGTACAAAGTTGCATGCTACCTTTTGATCCAAAGGTGTACATTTTCACCCCATTTGTACTTTTTTGTGTGTTTTAGGTTTTTAGGTTTCATGAAATCTTAAGTGTTGTTTCAACTCAAGCATTTATCAGATGCTGCCATTTCTTCAAAGGAACACAACCAAAGATTGCACATTGGTCATCCTTTTGATTATGAGTTAACTATATAATAAATGTATACTGGAAATCACCAGTTTTATTAAATGCTGCTTTTTATTGCATTCAGCCATTTGGTTACTTTAAATACTGAAGCAGGAGGGAAAGGATTAATCACAACAGACCAGGTTATAAAAAGGAATTTATGTGAAAAATTGTACGTTCTTTTAGTCACTTTTTCATCACGGTGGAAATGTACAGAATTAAATTAAATATATTTTTTTATAATTATTAATTTAATGTCTGCTTTAAAATGTTATGTCTGATGTTGATTAATATTAGAAAACCAGAACTTATATTAGCTATAAATCAGCCGGTTTTCTTGTTGAATGTATGCTTAATATGGTCTAATTTTGAATGGCAGCGGCAAGCGATGTGAAGGCATGTCATCTATTTATATCTCTATCTCCCTCAGTCTCATTTACCCTGCCTGACTCCCTCTCACTTTCTCTCTCTCTCTCATCAAAGTGATGGAGAGATCAAAGTGATGGAGAGTCAGGGTAGGTGGTCAGCGGTTTCGTGTTGTCATTGACCGCGCACGAGACGTATCTGCCGAGACAGACAATACGCGCGCGCTGGCCAGAAACTTATTCCCTGAATAATTAAAGCTAAGGAGAAGTCGACGGAGGACGCTGCATTGCTTCGAGGAAGAAAAAAAAAATACTCATCTCACCTGGAGGCGCAAAAGTATTTTTCAGGTGCTATAGGATACTTTATCTTCAGTTTCATAAACTCATTTTATTTTCTTAAGCCAAATGCATTGGATTTAATAGGAAAAACAATAGACAAAACCTATAATATTCTAGTATATATATATATATATATATATATATATATATAGGCTATATATATATATATCATAGGATAAATCTTATAATATAAAACAAAACTGTTATCCGTATAAGATCGTTTTCCAAAGGTGTAAAGAACGAATGACACCCATTCCCATACGCTAACGGGTGAAATGTGGATACTTGACCTGCAGAGGATAAAAGAGACGCGTGTTGTGGTGTCAAGCTGGAAAATAGGCATGCTCTAATTGGCTAGAAAAGCATTTATGCTGGCGGGAGGAGTCCGCCCTCGGCCTCATATACAACTCTTTTGCACTTTGGTTTTCACAAGTCGCTATTGTGACTACCTGTGGTGATCATCCCGAAGCTCATCACCGTAAGCACGAAATAGCCTGATTTTGAGCTGTATTGGCGCGTGTCATGGAGTTGGAGTGATGATATAATAAGGTCCGATACTTTTCTTGGACTATTTTTCTTTCAACTTAAGCCTTTATCTTACCGAGCAGGATTTGTTTAACGTTTTCTAAAGAGCTACATCAGTTTATGCCAACACATGATGTAATCAGCGGTGGCATTTGAGTGGTAGGCTATTTGCACGCGCGAGATATCTTTGAGGGCATCGCTCCGCGCGCATCCCTTTGAAAGCGTGTACACCGCTGCCAGACAGTGACTCCAAAACCGCTCAAGTCACACGACAGACACGGAAACTCCTGTACTGACTTTATATTTGACTATATCATTTACGTTTACGCTGCTATATGTACTAAATCATTTAGGCTTATATTTAAGATATTCAAGACATCAACACTTGGGAAAACACGCTGGATAAACTTGGAAGAACTTTTTTAACGCACAGGAGCATTTGCACCCGTGTCCTACGGGAAAGCATCATAACACGATGGAGCTCCCTTCGGAACCCCGGTGGATGATGCACGCTCATCATTCAGCCTTAATAGGCACCTCAGATTCAGTGTCTCCGCACTCTGGTTTAGGATATCATTGTTCGGGATATATGGAGCAAGGTGCTCCATTATTACCACCAGACGAGGTAGATGTATTTCTCAGTCATTTAGACTCTCAAGGAAACCCCTATTACCACACACACGGGTCCCACTCTCATACTCGTGCACGAATGTCTTACAATCAAACGCATGGTGAGTAGGCCTGGATCTCTCTTTCCATTTTTTGCGTGCTTAGCTTCTTATGATTTTGGCACTAATTTGAGTTTCACTTGCTCACTTTTTCCCTCTAAAACTATATCGGTCACATTAATTGGGTCACAAGGCTGGTTGTATTGACAAACAATTCTCACCATAATAGTCTGTAGAAGATTCATCTGCGAGATAATTGTCATTTTAATAGTAAATTATTAATACTGTTATTATTAAATAATGTTATGATTGTACAATTCTACCATGTGATATTTATTTTAATGAACACAAGTTCGAATTGTAACTCACATTAATACGCATTTTTATGCATATTTAGCACATTAATTGTGTTATGTTTAGGCTATATGCAAATTTTAGGCCTACACATAAATTAGCCTATTTTTATTATATCATTATTATTTGTATTATTACATCATTATTTAATGTTTTACGATTAGCTATATTATAAGCAATTATATTATGTTTAGGCTGTTTCAAATTTGAGCAAAAATAGCGAATGCGTTTTGAATATTAACAAAATTTCGTTTCGCGGAAGATAAAATAACATCTTTCGAGGGCAATGAATTCTTAAGTTTCCAAATACTTTGATATATTAATTCTAATACTTTCGCGTCCCCCACTAACACAGAACGTTTAGGGATCTCCACTGAGATCTGACCTCACAATAAATAACTAGCCTAATTTGTCAATCACTGTTTCGATAGGTGCGATTTAAGCGTTTAGCCTAGGAGTTTCCTCATTTGTGTATCTTTTTTATAGCTTTAAAATGTGGTTAAACGCGGAGAAAGGTTGAAATTGAATAGACTTTAGCAACGTGTATAATTGTTATTGTAAATGTTTTTTTCCCCTCCTTTTATTTCTTTTGGAAGCACGGCTTACTGGTGGCTCAATGTGTCGACCTCACCTTATCCCCACGCAAGGTCTTTCATTACTGGACAACAGCAAATCGACTTTCTCGGCGGCCCAGCACCACAGCACATGGGCCGTCAGCCACCTGGGTAAAACGGTTTTGCATTCAGCAGGCGCCGAAAACTCAAACGGCCTGTTCACGAGCACCGGTACACCTGCCCCAGGTTCAGTGCAGTGCCTGTCAATGACGCAACACTGCAGCCCTCAGCTCTACTGCCTACCCCCTACTCCACCCAAAGATGCTTCACCTGACCCTGCGTGTGCTGCTGTGAGGGACGCTGGGAAGTACCATCTCCATCTTGTCGACGGGATGAAGATGGAGTGTTCCAGTCCAATCCGTAGCAACCTCGCGCAAACTACAACTCATATACCTTCATATTCAGATTACTCTTTAGCTGGAGCGCACGAGTTCCCCGGCGGCGTGTTTCACTCCAGAAGCCTTCTCGGCAGCAGCCCGAGTCACATGACATCAAAATGCAAAAGCAAAACCCGCGCTTTCTCAGGTAAGTTCAAAGTTCATACTAACAACGGAACTTATAACTGGTTAATTAACTAGTTTTAAACATGTTGTTGGTAAAAAAAACAATATAAGCTTAGCCTACCGAATAAGGTAATAATAATTAAAAAAAAATAAGTTTCCAATAACACATACACAAACGATTTAAATTAGTTTTATTTCTGCTTAATTGACTCATTAATAATTATTAATTAGACTAAAAATATAATTTGCCAAATTAGTATTTTTTTTATTATTATTTTTAATGGCATAAAAAATATAATAATAACTAAAGTTGTGTTGCACAAAAGTACTGTTTTCTTCTAGGGCTGTTTTGGGCCATGCAAACATGGGAGTAGGCTATACACTTCTAATTCGACAATAAATAGCTGTAATATAAAAAGTAATAATTAACTAATAATTTATCCAACTAATGCATTAAATAATGAAGTTGTTTTACCTTGATTGAATACTGTTGCTTCCTGTTGGGTGCTATTCTTTACATCCAAATGGCCGCACTTATCGGTACTCCTGATCGGGACAACCGATAACTCGAAAGTAGAAAAAAAGATTGAAGTACTGTAAAACTAATATCAAACTAAGTGTCAGTCTATCTCCATGTGTAATAAATCACTGATTCTTGAAACTTTGGCAAAAACATGTCCCACTAAAAAAAGTGCTAATTCTGTTGGAAATTAATAACATTTTCATGAATGAAAAGAATCAAGTTTATAATCAGGGGGTCCTTTGCACATATGCAAGGTTCTTTTATAGGTTTATTTTTCATTTTTATTATTTTAATGATTATATGCTGGCCCATTGCCTACAAAATCAGCTGTCCTCGGATAGGAGATAATCATTTCAACTTGATTAAAAAAACAAAAAGGAATAATTGAATTGAATAATATATTTACCACACAAAAGAGTACATTGTAATATGTATTAAAAACTACAAACATTGAGTTTTAAACAATATTTACTATTTTTTTGTGGTTGTTCAAAATGTGTCCCACATATTCGTCACCACCGTCAGATATTTATAAAAAGCAATAAAATCAGGCAACTACAAGGTCAACTACATTCCTCCATACCCCATTTTCAAACCTTCAGCTTTACAGCATGCTTCAAGATCACTCAAGCTCCCGTAATTTTGCTATTTTCTCTTAAACTTGTTCATATATTTGGGCACTGCTACTGTCACAACCATAACATGTCAACACCGTCTCTTTTGTATAGAAAATATTAGATTAGATTATGACATAATTGTATACTTTTTAAGAAGAGGTCTGAAGTAGCTAGCAACAGAGGGGAAACAAGATGGCTATAATGTGAACAACTCATGCATATCATGTGAAAGAGTAGGTTTTGTCACCACCGTCAGACGTCACCACCGTCAGGTTTTCTATCTGACGGTGGTGACATACCGTGTGACGGTGGTGACAAAAACCCCCAAATGGTCTATAACAGAGGCTAGAATATAATTGTTGATCACAATAAATACCAATATATTATCCTGTAATGTTCCATTCACCTCTTTAATATTTTTATTTATTTAATTCCCCTTATATTTCTTCCATTCAGGCTTACACTGCATGCTACTATTAGCGCGAGTGAGAGTGAGGATGTTTCCTGATATCCTCACGGCTGTGCTTCAGCTGCAGGAATACAGCAGTTCTAATCTGAACATGTTTGATGCGATTAAATTGTGTTTCATGACGTTCATTTAGATTTTTGCCCACACTAAAAATTTGTTAAAGCCTAGCATGGATAGGAGCAGCAATAACCCCCTTGGGGTAAACAGAACAGAACCAACATAAATGTTTTGCAGATTATTTCAAAATTTAAAGTACAATATAATTCGAGAATTTATTCAGATTCTTGGGGAATCAGAATGTCAAGTCCTGACTGACGAGTGGAGCTGGGGAGGGTAATGAGCTCCTGAGAAACGTGATAGCTGATGATAATACTGAAGGAGCTTATACTGTATATGTGTACAGTGATAGGCGTCATATTCCTATAGGGGGAGGTGGATCAGCTAATAGTCGGCTGATGCGAGCTTGACTAACGTGACCTGCCAGAACTAACCAGAACTAAGGATGCACATAGTGCAGCTACTGCCTACCTACACAGCACATAGTATGCACTATCCATTCCAGGCTATATGCATCTCCAATGACTAAAGCCAAATGAAAATGGCATGACATCATTTAAACAAATCTAACATTCGCTGTAATTACCCCCAATTTCATAGTCATTACACTCAACTTTGACTTTATGTATTTTCGAAAGTTATGGCTATAGGCAGCAGCTATATAGAGGAGAGAAGGAGAAGAAACAGGGAATACCGTTGGGGGAAAAGGCGGGAAACTGATCATTGACAGTGCTAAAATACACAGTGAGGCAGAGTTAAATGAGGAATACCTCATAAAAGGAAAAAAATGTTTATCACAGTGCTCAAGATTGTTATTTTTTCGACCAAAGAGTTAAATGAAGTTGTTAAGCAAGAATTGATTGACTTGAGTGGTATACATTGTGGAATTGTATGTTGTAAAGAGGCCACAGTCACCACCGTCAGATTAATGTCACCACCGTCAGTTCTAAAGTCACCACCGTCAGAGGGAGTTTTATTGGTTTTAAATGAATATACTTGAAATATGATTCTTCAGTGCTGTTGAGTTATTAAAATAATAGTCTCTTTTAATACAAAAAATATGTTTGTTAAATAAAACAACATTAATTTTTCTATTTAGGCTTAAAGTAAATGTTGTATGATGTTATATCTTTAAAAAGGAGTACACGCAAAACAGTATAAAAAATGAACAAAAGTGAATATTCAACATTTAACAGCATATATGTGTACCAAGAATGCCAGATAATGATTTAAAAACTCTAAATACATATTAGACCAAACAAATAAAAAATAATTTGCTATTTATTTTGTCTGACGGTGTTGACAAAAACAAAGTGATAACTGGAGAAACGCCTATTTTATGAAAAAAATACAAAATGAGGAGGTTGCACCGGTGCATTGCTGAACAGCCAAGACCTTGCTTTATAATGATATACCTTTAGATTTTGTAATTTAACTAACTTTTTATTTTCAAAATTAAAACCTGTTTTATCCAAATTCCCAAGAATCACTGAAATACTGTCAGCATGAATAAGTTGTTTACATTTTTTTAAATTTCCTTTCTCCTCATTTTTTGCATCTCTGTGCTATAATGTGTGCCGGAAGGGCGTGAATGTGTGAATTGTGGAGCTACATCAACTCCTCTTTGGCGGAGGGATGGAACAGGTCATTATCTGTGTAACGCATGTGGACTCTATCACAAGATGAACGGCCAGAACCGACCACTCATCAGACCCAAGCGCAGACTGGTTAGTGCTGCACACATACACACACCTTTACATAAATACGTTCAAACATGTTAGAAGACACTGCTCTAATAGAAAAAATCTCCAAAAACAACTTAGATTGCGTACAAGCTGTGCATATGCTTTCCTAGGTATCAAACCCATGACTTTATTTCTATTGTAGCTATAGCATTTTTTTTTCATATGTAGCCTACTCCTAATTTGTACTACAGGGAAAACTGTCATATGTTTCACTTTCAATACTATTTTTTCCATGTAATGTATGATGTCAAGTCAGAAAATGTGCACAGACAATGAAGAGAGAAGAAGAGTGAAAGGCCTGTGCGTGCGAGTGTGTAATGGACTATTGAGTTTCCATCGCCTTACTGACAGGTTTAAATGGCAAGTAATGAATTAGAATTCATTAACAGATGTACACTTGACAAACAAATACTTCTTGTATTCCTGGCAGGCCTATCATCTTACTTTAATTCCTTGTATCACATGATTGCAATGTTACAAATTCCTGTCAACAGGATTTTATAAATAAAAATATTTTTATGGTGAACAAATAAGTGAAAATTCATGAAAGCCCAGTGTAATGGTTAAGCACAAGGCGGCTGCAGAACTGCTGTCAGTGACAATGAAGGGAAATGTAATAAATCAGCTCAAAGGTGACTGCGTCTACATATTTTGTGTGACCTTCCATTCAGAGCATATGAGCTGTAAATTAGGCTGACTAGCTTCAGGTCTCTTTCTTGAGTCAGTGTGTGATGAGTGCTTCTGCACCAGCTACAGGTCGTATATTTGAAGAGTGCATGTCGAGACAGCTCGGTCCAGGATGTCTGCCCTGTACCGATAACTTTGTGTGACCCAAAAACGCTTCCTTTTGCGGTTGTTTTCTTGCTGTATTTTCTTTTGGCATGTTGAGAATCTACTATACCTGTATAGTGATGTGAATTTATAGTATTTGAGGACGTACTTCTGTTTAACGTGAGTTTGGGAGTTAAAGTAAAAAACCAAGCCAGCATCATTATGTTTCAATTACAAAAAGTTATTTTATCATTATCAAATTTTATGTCTAAAGATTTATTGAAAAAGTTTTTGTAGTATTTCAAGTTTTTCTTGCCTATTAAAACAAATGATATAAAAAAAATATTAATACGCAATGCACATGTCTGTTCTATCACTGTATAACACAAATCTGCATTCAATTTGCTAAAATGTTTCATAGAGTCCTGAGAAAAGAATACTGTAAAGATGTCAGTTGTGCCAGTAACAAAGTTTTCACATTAAGCTCGTAAGAGCATGTTTTCTGTGTATCTGTTGGCCATTGTCAAGCTTAAATCAAATGTAATTTTATAATATTATAATACGTATCATTTCACGGTCATACAGAGCCCTTAAAGGGACATGGTGATGACATGGAAGGAAGAAAAATATTTGAATGCTTTAGCTTTCTCTGGCAAAAGTTCTGCATCCTACTGAGAAGCGTTGCGTTCCCTCGCAAAACCTTTGTGTTCCCTCGCAAAAAATCGTTTGAAGCGCAAAGTTTCTCGGGGGGGCACAAAAGCATCGACTTATTATTTTTCCTCCCATCTCATATTTTCTTTTTTCCATCACCTTGTCCTCTATACAGTCAGAATATACTTTTTTGAAGTTTCATTTATGAGACAAACAAGCACTTCCTGTATATAAACATTTACTGCATCAGAGAACAGATTACACCTTTACCATGCATAGCTTCAGGCCTTAGCTTATTGGGCTTGAATCAGGGTGTTTTTTTGTTGTTGTTTTGTTTTTTGTCCTTCCTGTTCGACCATATTTTATTTTCCTTCACAATTAAGTTTAGTCATTAATCAATTTCTTCTCATCAACCATCTTTCATTTTAAGTGCTTTTTTATGTTTCAGTCAGCATCTAGGCGAGCAGGCACCTGTTGTGCAAACTGCCAGACAGGGACCACCACACTTTGGAGACGTAACGCCAATGGAGAACCCGTCTGTAATGCCTGCGGCCTATACTACAAACTACACAATGTGAGTAAATGTGTATCTGTCTAGCTTTACTCTAGCACTTTGTATAGACCGAAAATGCCAAAATTAAAAAATAATATTGATTTCTATTTGTAAGAGGTTAACATCCATTGTTGGCATTAAAAATGAACTAGTTTGCTCCTAAAGTGGAATCTTTTTAATGTTAAATATGCTGGTAGTCTATCATCCTACTATTTAAAAAATGTAAATGTAATAAATGGTGTAATAGATTGGTGCAAGACTAATTCACCACAGGTTCCTTCAAGATTTTCCTAAGTTTTATAATGGGTTTCAATTTCTGAGTAAAATAAGGTCTGTGATGAACATAACTTCTTTTGACGATACTTGGATGTTTTGTTTTACAATGTAAACCACACATACTTCAGACATTCTTATTAGAAACATACGTAAAAAAAAGTGTCAAGTGTTGTCAAGTTATGTGTATACCACAGACCTTATTTTACTAAAATAAAGTCACAGAAAAAACCTCACAGAAAAATCTTAGTGAACCAGTGGCGAATTAGTATTCTGGTTTTTTTTTTACATCATCCCTGCACCATCCCTTTTAATATTGTATACATTTTATAGTGTGTATGTCTATGTTTGTTCATTCAGGTGAACCGTCCACTAACTATGAAGAAAGATGGGATTCAGACACGCAATAGGAAAATGTCAGGCAAACCTAAGAAGAGGAGAGGAGAGCACCAATTTCAATTTCAGCAATTTGACAGTTGTCTGCACGATAAACAATCCACTTTCAGCCACATGACCAACATGCCCCACCCCTTCAATATTACTCCTCCCATTCAATTACGTCCTCCATTCAGTCACAGCAGCTTAGTCACTGCTATTGGCTGACACACACCTGTAGAACACCATTCTGCATTCTTCAGTTTTAATGTTCTTTATGCACATATTCAGGCTTGATTTAAATAGTTGCACTTTATTTTGTGTATTTTTGACAGTTATTTTAAGCCAACATAGAAATTGATTGTACACCAAGAGTTTAATTAATTAGCCAGTTCTCATTAATAATAAATCCCCTATTTATTCAAATATAATCACAAGTACAACTTTTATGCCTGATTATGTCATCTATACCACTGCACTGTGTCTTATGTAACTGTGAAGAAGAAAGTTGTAATAATAATATAAATACAACATTTTCTAAACCATTTGCAATTATATAATTATTTCTTTAATTTATTTTTTCTTTGTTCTCTTCAAGCTTTATATATGAACTAGTATCAACATTATTAAACTTCATCTTTTCTCTACAAATGCATTAACAGTAACACTCAGAAAACACACTTTTTTAATGTGTACTTATTTTAAAAATTTAGTTAATAAAAGATTTAAAATCAATATTATTTTGTATGCGAGTCCTTCAATTATTTGCAAAAACATTATTAAATCCTGTTGAGGAGATGCTATTGTAGCCTACATATATAAACAATCCAAGAGACATGTGCACATTATATTGTCACTAGATTCCAATATGGAATCTATTACATTATACATTTTATTGTCACTAGATTCCAATATGTTACAAAAGTTATCAGACTAACTATGAATAATATAAAACATGTCAAGACAATGGAGCACAGGACTTCTAGAGTAAGCAAGTAGAAATTTTTAAGGAGTAAATAGAATATATTATATAAAATTATATTGCATACATATTATATTAAAAGTATTGATTTATAGACTGCATTTTATATTCTATATATACATTGAGTATATGCATTTTATTTACAGTATTTATATACATTTAAAAAAAAAAGACAAATGTATTATAATAATCACTGGTTGCCTTTAACATGTACAACACTTTAAATCAACTGTTAAATTATCTCATACAATGTAGTATTTTTCTTGTCAAACCTAATGTGTTTGATGGTAAATTTCTAATTTATTATTTAATAAGACTGAAAAAACAGACTTCTGGTTTTTAAGGTTTGCATTATTTATTTTCTAGGCCAGAGTAAATATCCATGGGATATGAGGCCAACTCTAAAAGAGATTGTATCTCAGATTCTTCGGTCATATTGGCCAGCTATCATTCTTTCATATGTCTTCTTATGTCTTTCATGTCCCTCCGTATCGCTACCCTAAATCTCTGTTTCTCAATAACTTATCCATACTATTATCAGGCTAAAGGACTCATAAGATCTCAGACCAGGATATATACATACCGTTCAAATTAATGGAATCAGTAAGATTTGTTTGTGCCTGTTTCAAAGAAATGGTATGAATACTTACATTCAGCAAGGATGTATTAAATTGATCAAAAGTGACACTAAAGCCTTTTACATAGTTGCAATAAATAAATACATTTTCGATAAATGTAGTTGTTTTGAATTTTCGGTTCATCAAAGAATCCTGAAAAAAATGCATCACGGATACAAAAAAATGTATCACATGAACATTGAGCAGCACAATTGTGAACATTGATCACAAATGTTTCTTGAGAAGTAAATCAACATATTAATTTGGAATGATTTCTGAAGGATCATGTGACTTGAGTACTGATGCTGAAAATTCAGCCTTTCTATACTGGATAAGTTACTTCTTTTAAAAACATTAAATAAATATTACCAATCTAAAACTTTTGAATGGTAGTGTATGCAAGTTAAAAACATTAGCATGATATATTTGTTCAATGACCTAACAGATGTAGCTGTTTGCAAACATTCTGTCTGAAACTGGGACACAGCAGAACCCTCCCATTTAACACAGGCCAAGCAGCATTCAACACCTTTCAGTCTCCTTTCTTTTCTCCTCCGTATTTTCCTGTTTAGCAGGTAAATTAATTCATCCTCTGACTCAGAACAATCACTTATTTTAAATGACAAACCAACTGCGAGTGCTCAGTTGCCCTCTCCAGGGACAGCTTGTGTGGTTATATATGTGTGTGTTTTACTGTCATGCTCCTGGAACAGGGTAACAGATCTGCTTGCTTCTATTTCCCTCCTCTCTTTTTTCCCCCCCTGTCCAAGTGGTTTTGTCCTGAGAGAAACCTTAGAGGCAGGAAAGTAGGCCGGAGGCAGGAGGGGATTTAGTCTAAATACACTGTTCAAAGTTATCCGACTCAATAGCAGGAAATACAGACATACCCGTTAAATCAAGAGTCAAATGATGCGAGGCCTAATAAAAACTTACTATAGAATTCTATCCCACGTCTTATGCCTTTACAATTAATGAAATACATTTACAGTGTATAGAAATACATTACTTATTAATTTGACACAAAATTCAGTCAATACCCATTCATGAGCAAAATTGATAGATATATTTCGTGCATTTCACCCATTACAAATCCTTACTGTGATGCCAAAGATGAATAATTTTTTTCTCAAAGAGGAACTCCACAGTAATTAATATGATAGATAACAAAAACATAAAGCCAATTAGAAAGCTAAGATGAAACAAGTACACAAAAGCATCATGGATAAAGCAGTAAAGGGAAAGAAAAATGGCAAAAGAGAGGAAAAAAGAGCATGCAGAGAGCTGGCTGACTATAGATTTAAGATAAGTTGGCTGAATGACAAATATTTGTAAAATGTGCAGAGACTGAAGAAAGAAAGAAAGAAAGAAAGAAAGAAAGAAAGAAAGAAAGAAAGAAAGAAAGAAAGAAAGAAAGAAAGAAAGAAAGAAAGAAAGAAAGAAAGAAAGAAAGAAAAGAAAAGAAAAGAAAAGAAAATAACTTTTTGGACTAGACAAAGCCGGCGCTTTTAGTGAGTTGCTATTGTGTTTTTATTGTTGTGATTGAAAAAGCCCAGAGGCTTATGGGTAGAATAGGACTCACATTGCTCCAGAAACCTGAGAGATGTATTGAGTGACAGCTGGGTCATTAGAACATCAACTGTAATTAGTAAACATATTGAAACCCACACTATACAAGCTAATGCTACCTTTAGTATACATTTGCTTACCATTAAAAAAAAATGCGGCATGTGTGCAAATCCATCTGTGCCACAATAATATGTATTTTTATTTAGGTTTTTAGTGTACACTAAATGTACACTTTTTGTGTGAAATTTTACCCCAAAAAATAAATAAAAATAATGTGTAATGTGAAACAGGGGAAAAGAGGGAGGTTGAAGGTTATTCTGCTCCGTTATTATAATATATGACTTTATCAAACTAATTCAAGCGATTAAGCAGAACACGTTTTTTGGGATACGTAAATGAAACCATCACACTCCATGCACACACACTAGTTTACCTCATTTTACCCATCCCACACTTACATTCAGGTAATTGTTTATTTTGAGACTGTATCTAATTTAATAGCTGTAATCTAATAGTTGGCTGTTTATCGTTCAAAGATAAGATGGAGGGCCTGCTAATTTTATTAGTCTCTTCAGTACGGGATGTGGGAGGCTTTTACCGCCCTGCTAATTGGTCCAATGAGTCGGACAGTGAATGAGCGTAACCTGAACTGTTCAAAACAGGATGACCCCTCCATATTGAAGTTTCTTTCACTTGTGTCGACAAATTGATCACAAAACTAAAAATGACAGTTTGATGCACTCCTGAACAATTGGATGCAAACCTCAAAGGGCAAAGGTCACACTCTTTAGCCTTTAACACTTATTGGCGGAACACATCTAAAAAATGACTTTTGCATCTCCTCATATTCTTTTAAGAAGCATTGAATGATCTATTTAAGACATACAAATAATGCAAAATATACCTGTGTGACAAAGTTAAATTCTTCAGTGGATGATGACAATGCTGCTGACCTGGAAGAAAAGAGCAGAACAAAGAAAAAGAAAACAAGGGAAAGGGGGTGTGGATAAATGATTGTATGGACATAAAGGACCAGACAGAATAGGTGAGATAGAACAAAGGGGCGTTGTGGTAAAGTGCATTAGAAGAAAGGATGGAAAGTGGGATAACTGGAGCAAAGCACCTCTTGAATGAATGTGTTACATGACTGGTTTTTGTGTGGACGTGGACCCTTATACTATAAGAGTATGAAGACAACAGACTTCAGCTCACAGGGAAACGTGATAGCTCAGTTTACAGTTTACAGTACCTCAGCCTCAAATCACTTCCATTGCAGGCTTTAATAAGGCCTAAATTAAATATGTTGTTGTAACATAAAATGAACCTCAAATGTCATGTTAGCAGTCAGTAACATTTAAATAAAAATGTATATATATATATATATATATATATATATATATTCCCTCCCTATAACTCTGAGTGTGTATAAAGGTCTGTAAAACGCAAAAGTAAAACTTTTGGTTCACCCAGAGACTTCAGTAAATCTATAAAATCCAGGGACACTGCATCCAGCTAAAAGCCCAGTTAAAGCAAATGATGTGATTAGTACAGAGGTCTCTAGCAGTAGTCCATTGATTTATAGATGGATTGATGTTTTTTGCTCAATTGTAGAACTGATTGATTCTTTGAGATCTTAAAACCTCGATGTAAAAAACAACTGATGCATTTTGACAACTGTGTGCCATTACAAATCAAGACTAAACAGATTGATTTCATGGCATCTAAGAATGTTGCATAATTAACCCATCCAAATAAGAAATATATACAAGTTTATATGAATTACGAATTTAAAATTGGCATACATATAATGTATATGCACACACTTTTTACTTTTCGTAATTTCCATCACACAATCGCAACCATACAAGCATCTATGATTAGGGGGAAAAAAAATCACCTGCGATCAAATATTGTACCATGTACGACTTTAGCTATGGGAAACATAGACGTCTATTGTTTTTATATATAGATAGTTATGAATACTTTATGAATACTAATCTAACCAAGACCCTATCGATTACAGAAAACTTTCAACATTTTTACATACAAAGAAAACATTATTTACTTTATTTTTAAACTGTTTTTACAAATGAGAATGTCCTCAAAAGGTGGTTTTGGGAGATTTCATTAGGTTTAGATCACTAAAACCCACACACACACACACACACTATTACAATATAATAATTTAAATAAACTTAATATATATCGTGTAATATAATGATCGATCAGATAACAGCTGGGAACTATGAAGATTGCACTTGAGAATATGTACCCATGTGTTTATTTTTTCAGAACAAAAGTGCTTCCCAGCACAGAACTCAATTATGTTGCTATTGCTCTGTGTGGTTTCTATAGCATTACCAGGTGGTAGCTAGTTGGTTACTAGTCCAAAGTAGCCAAAAGTCCTAAGTAACCAACAGTTGGTTACTGTCCTAAGTTCTCCTCAAAGTATTTTTACAACTTTTTACAGTATCAATGGCCGTGGCACAAAAGCCAACTGCAGAACGAGTTAGGTGACAGAGTTGTGTAGTTTTGTTTTGTAAAAAAAATGAGAAACTTTAATTGAAGGGTTTGTTTACCCAACATTTATATTCTGCCATCACTGTTCATCAATGCACACATCAGTTGGTGAACGGAAGCTCAAGCATGCTTAATTGGCGTGCAAAAACCAATGAGGTTCATCCTCGTGTGTTAAAAAGCACCTTTGAGCTTCCACAGGAACCAATGAGGTTTGTTCTTACGCGCCAAGCAAGTACGGTTTACGGTTGAGCTCCTGTAGCATGTTCGCTGATCAGTCAAAAGTCAAAATTCAATCCGGTCATCCATATAGCGATCATGTCTCTTTTATTTGAACTAAACCGCTCAATTCATATGGATTAGTTTTACGATCTCTTTATGAACTTTTCGAAGCGCAAAAGGGTTAGTGCCAATGACTATCAATGGAGGGACAGAAATCTCTCAATTTCATTAAAAATATCTTCATTTGTGATCAAAAGATTTTATGGGTTTGGGTTTGGAATGACACAAGGGTGAGTAAACAGAACTTTCACTTTTGGATGAACTAAGCCTTTAAAGGAATAATGACTATGCCCGACTCTGGGGATACTACTGTCCTCTATGTGTGAACAAGTGGTATTGCAGTGTCCACATAGACACTTGTGAGCTTTAGGATGGAGAGAAAATACTAAGGAAACCATCCATGAGATCAAATAATATAATTAAAAATGTACAAACACAAATACCAACTGCCCGTGCTGATGAAGCCGATAATGTTAATGGTTTTGTTAACTCAAACACTGAGCATGACTTTACCTCTCTTTGGGCTCATCTCAAGATCAGTGCATGTCCAGGGATCAGGAAGGAGACAATCTGCAGCTTCTACCTCATGGGAAAATCTCATGTTTTTATTTCCTTTTTTTTCTCTATTCCCCTTTTTCAGTCCCTCTTCTCCCTTCTCTTTCAATTTATGAATTTTAAACAGGCACTCTGAAAGACCTTTCTGATGAAGGACCCTGATTAGAGAGGTTAACAGACTCAAGCTGTCATATCAAAGGCTTGTACATGCATGCACTCACACACAAAATAAAAGACTGAGATTCCTATCTGAGTCACTGAAGGGGAAAAGACAGTAAAGACAGCATGTGTGTGTGTTTAAATTTCTCTTGAGTCCATGAGCAGGCCGAACATGGCATGAAAGCCATGTTGTGTTAGACTCACAGAGTACTAGCCTGCAGTGTTTAACTAAGTGTTCCGTCTCTTTCCTGCTGTAATTAATCAGAGAAATTGAACTTGGCCTCATTAATATTAATGCACAATAAAACACACACACAACACACATCTGATCCTCACAAAGGAGAAATGAGCGGTCAATCAGTCAGTAGACTACATCGGGCAATTGTTCTGGCATTCAGTTCAAAAGTTTGAGATAGTTAAGAATGATTTTTTTTTTTAAGAATTAGCTTAATGCTTACCACGGCTCCATTTATTTGATAAAAAAAAACTGTAATATTATTACAATTTAAAATAACTGTTTTTTATTTTAGTATATAGCCTACATATTACTCCAGTCTTCGGTGTCAAATAATCCTTTAGAAATCACTCTCTTCAGAAAAAATCTGATTTTCTGCTTGAGAAACATTTCTTAATACTATAGTTGCGCTCCTTAAAATATTTGTGGAAACCATGGCAATTTTTAAAGATCTTTTTCAGAATTTTTAAAAATGTCTACTGTCATTTTTGATAAATTTAACCCATTCTTCCTGAATAAAAGAATACATTTCTTTAAAAAAAATTTACTGACCTCAAACTTTTGAGTGCTAAGAATTTCATAAAGAGACTGTCCAATTGCTGAAACTGCCAATTCTCAGAGTTAAAAGACAAATAAAAGAAAGGGAGATATGACACATTTGTTTGTCTTTAAAAATGCTAAATGTCTACATCATTCGGAATGGAACATAAAATGAATAGTTGGACAATAAAGGATTAATTCACCTAAAAATGTAAATTCTATCATTTACTCTCTGTCATGATGTTTGTGACCTGTATTATTTTCTTTCTTCTGTGCACAGAAAATAAATGTTTTGCAGAGTGACTGGCAGGTTTTAACATGAATGTGATATAAAAATCAATATGGAGGGTAAAATAACCTTGACATTCTGCAAAAAAATCTCCTTTTGTGTTCCACATTTTGGAATAAAATGATTCCTTAAGAGGTTAATGCATTGCCAAAGCATCTATACAAGTCTATATACTGTGAGTATAAAAATTTTTATTCAGTTAGATCAACATCTTCCTGTTGTGTTGGAATAAATGACAGCACATTTGCTAGTCAAAGAAAGTGTGTAAGAGAATAAGAGTGATAGGCACTACGCAAATCTTCTTAAAAAAAGTCCAGTTATTAGCAATTACAATGAATAACAAATAAAGCTTTGTTCTTACCTGCAATGCCAGGTAAAAACAGGGAAGTATATCAACACAGATGGCGTTTAATATTCTAGTACAGCTGCTTTTTGTATACTCGCAAATTAAGAATGAATTTGACTACAAATTCCCCTGAGTTGCTGGAACGTAACTGGAATCTATGCAAATCTGTGAAGCAAATCAGTAAACAATGATAAGACTTATTGTGGTATTTTATGATAAGACTTATAGATATTTTTTTAATTTAGCGTGGGGGGGGGGGGGGGGGCTTACTCAGAAATTCAGAAACACGCATTTACAAGGCCTACGTGTGCACAAACAAACAGTGGAAATTAAAAATTAATAATTATACAATTAGAGTAACTGGATTTGGGATGTGTGGAAACATACTTTGTCCATATGCCAACAGAAATATTTGCCTATAATCACAATGCGTTTTGCCCTTAAGCAACATCCCAACCACTCTCACTATGCCAAGCACAAAGATGCATAATAAACACGTTCACACCCTTGCAAACAAAATCTAAATCCCCAAAAAATAGTTCATTACAACTAAAGCAGTTTAGCTAATAGATTTGTTTTATTAGCAGTGATATAACAGCACTTATTAGTAAGGTAATGATGTGTTTTGAAGAGATATTCCATCTTTTCTTTTTAGTTTCTTTTCCATATTTGAAATAATAATAAAAATGCGAAGTAACGGAATAGAAACGCTGGACACAAAAAAAATATCCAACATCAATATCCCAGACTTTAGTAGTGTCTGTTTTTCCTGTCCGCTTTTCAGCTTTTATCGGGAATGATCGGACTGAGGGTCAGGACTGCACCATCTTTTTGTGGGGATCATATATGTAGCGTTTGAAGTTTAAAAGTATGGTAACTGGCTGAGCGTCAAGCTTGGTTTCCTCAGATTTGGAGGAGTCATTTTTGGCCCCACCCTTCCCCTTCTTCTTAGATGAAGAGCACAGAAGCTGCTTGGTTTCTTCTTTCAGCCCCTCTAACAGAAGAGAAAGAAAGGAAGAACAGGCATTCATGGACAAGGGCCATACAAAGATACTCGATTTGTTGATGTTTTGGATGGATACTTTGATCATATGACCAAATTTTAAACAGGAATGAACTGCTGCATCAATTAAAATTTTCAAAAAATAAATAAATAAATAAATAAATAAATAAAAATCTGGATTGACTTATCCAGTGTTATTTAAGTTTCTATTTTAGTTTTTATAAAATAAAATAAAAAAAATCAATAAGATTGTGTTTTTGTCATTTTATTATTATTTTTAAATATTGCAATTTAGGTTTAATTTATTTTCATTTTTATTTATTTCCAGTTATTAATTTTAATGCTTCGACTTAAATGTATTTCAGTTTAATCCCAAAGCAACATTTCTAATTTTTTCAAACTAGACAACAATTTGAGGTAAAGTACAGTACAAAAAAAACCCTAAACATCCTTTCCAATGTGGTTATGTATACATTCATTCTACTAAATTCATTGAGCCTGAAGAGAGGTGTCTGTGTGTGTGTGTGTGTACGTACGCGGATGTATATTCGTGTGGCTGAGGTCTACCTACTCAAGAGAGCCTTGAGGGTCAGGAAAAGGATGTACGTTTTTTGCACATATATTTAAGATGTAGCGTGCAGCATTTTGCTGTGTGTAACTATATATGAGAGAAGCTTTTGTGTATATGCTGTTTTGAATGAATGAATGAGTGCATGGATGTAAAAAGAATAAGTCACCTGACAAGAAACATAGAGGAAGGAGGAAAAAAAGAGGCAAAAAAAAAAATTAGGGAGAGTAAATAAGAGTGTATTTGTCTTTCCTTACCTGGTATTCGGATTTTGATCTTTCCACTCTGACCGAAGCCACCTTCAATGGTCCCCTTTTCTCCCGTCGACAGCGTAACTTTTAAACCCACAAACAGCTGAAGGTTCGTCTCCTTCTTAAACAGGTTTCGACCAATCACAGTGTAGTCATCTGTCACCTGACCAAAGATAAAAACTGATGAGCTAGAACCAGAGTACACAAGGTACTCAAAAGACTGTAACAATTAAAATAAATTAATAAAATTAGTAAGAATTGTGTAGGAACAAAATCAAACAATACCTGACCCCAGATATAGTGATATCATTATCAATTATACAATTAAATCATGTATATTATGTACATTACCATTACCAGTCTCTTATGCTTATCAAGGCTTCATTTTTTGATGAATAATACAGTAAAAACTCTAGTATTGTGAAATATTGTTACTTTGTAAGATAGTTTAAGATGAAATATATTTACTGAGATGGCAAAGCTGATTTTTCAGCATCATTACTCCAGTCTTCACTGTCAAAACATTCTACTATGGTGATTTGAGCTCAAGTAATATTTATTATCATTATCAATGCCGAACAGTTGTGCTGCTTAATATTTTAGAGGAAACCATGATTTTCAGGATTCTTTGAAGAATAAAAAATTAAAAATAACACTTTATTTAAAAAAAAAAAAAAAAAACTGATGTAAAACCTTGAACTGTAGTCTGTGTATGTGTAATTTTATTTTATTTATCAATATATAAATATTTGTAGTTACCCGTTCCACTGCTCCTTCTTTCTCCTTATCTTTGCTGATTCTGAGTCGAGGCAGTGCTGTCTCTGTGTAGTTTTTGTCCTCAAACCCTTCCAAAAGCTTTCCGTGAAAGGCAAGCCTGCATGTGTTACCATGGATATCTGAGTCAAGTCGAGACCCAATCACTAAGCAAAGTGGAGGACATGTGACTGGTCGTTCGAACTCAAGTAAAGCCCATTGCTGTGGTTCCCCTCTCCCTCCTTCCGCCTGACCAGTCAAATACTCATCCAGGTGGTGAAACTCCCAATCAAATGAGAAAGAGCTTGCACTTTGCTCTTGAGAGGTGGGCCTACAGTCTCCATTTTCTTTGCCAGGAAGAACTCGATTGAAGAATGAGATACGAGCCATAACGGTTTCATGTCCAACGGTGATGTGAAACTTTGCACGGCTGCTAAGCCCTCCGCGATAGTATTCAATCTTTTGGACGGATATAATAGCAGCGTAAAGAGTTTGCAATGAACCTGGTGTGCATATTACACCCCGTTCTAACAGTTTGGGGTCAAACTGTGTCACACACACGCCAACCCGATCCCCTTGCATAGCACTAGGAACTGGCTTACGAAACATCTGCACAGATTTGACCTTGCGAGTTACCTAAGGAATAAAAAAAAGAGAAAGAAATAAGGAGCTGATCATGTCAATGCACAAAGTTGCAAAATATTTGTTCACCTATGATTGTGAAATTGATCATTTGGAAACAGTCAGAGGATTAAAAAAAGATAAGAATCTCTTATAATGCAATTTGCAATGCATGTGTATACACTGTATACAAGTGTTGAAAAGTTTGGGGTAGGTAAGTTTTTTTTTATGTTTGAAAGAAGTTCAAGCCTGACATATTTTTCTGTTGTAATATATTTTAAAATGTAATTTATTCCTGTCTTACGTGTAACATGAACCTTCAGAAATCTTTCTAATATGCTAATTTGCTGCTCAGGAAACATTTCTCATTATTAATGCTGTAAATGGTTGTGCTTGTAAAAACTGTGATACTTTGATGAATAGTAAGTTCAGAACATATGATTTAAAACTTACAACAGAACAGCAATTATTTGAAATAAAATAATTCTTTCTAACCCTCACTCATCCCAAAACTTTTGAACTGCAGTGTAGTGTTTGTATTGTAGAGTGTAGATAAGCACCTTTAATGCCGGTATCTCCACAGTCTCATTGACACTGAGAGACCCTTGTAAGATGGTGCCAGTAATGACTGTTCCCTGGCCACGGATGGAGAAGCAGTGATCTACAGCCATGAGGAGAGAACCTGACGGATCTCTACGAGGAAGGAAGGCCTGGGCCTTCAATAACTGAACACATAATCAAAGACAACCTCACAAATATGGTTCTAAATAAAGTAGTTTATGCTAAAGATCTATGTTATCAGCACGATTTGACAATGTTCCCAAAAATATCTAGCATGCATCAATGGAAAAAATGAAATCTGTTCTGTCACCATGGTCAGTGTCACAAATTTGCATAAATTTGCATAAATTTGATTTAGTTTTCTATATATATCGTAAAGGATTTTTAACTTTTACCTCATAACTTTTATTTATAAAACAATTTACAAAATGTAAAAGTGGTCTCTGACTTTTGGATTTTGAATCTGTGCTGTGACAACACACCCACTAACTCACATCTATGAGTTCAGTTATCCCTTGTGGCTCGACTGTATCCGGGGCCTCAGGACCACCTGGCTTTGCTGCTACAGCAATTACAGGACACCCTTTAAATCTGACAAGCAAAAAATAAGTCAAGTCAGTTTTATTTGTATAGCACTTCTCAAAATACACATGTTTTTAAAGTTGTTTACATAATGATGGTAATACCTTAAAATCATCATGCCTTATAGTAGCATTGAGAAGAATAGAGCTGGCAAAATGTATAATATATAGAATATATAGTGAAACGTGCTTAAGTTGACAGCATCTACCTTGTGTTCTCAAGAGTTTTGTGCATCCTCTTGGTCATTTTGTCAATAGCCGCCTGTCTCTTGTCACTAGGCAACATGTCTGTTTTGTTGAGTATGACGATCATGCGAGAGCAGGTGAGCTGACCAATCAAAAGGCACTCTGCTGTTTGTGTCTGCATACCTTTCACAACGTCAACCACCAATATCATCAGATCGATGATCTGAGCACCTGAATTCAAGTACACAGATGAGAGTAAAACAAAAAAGTACAACAATGTTCAACAATGACAAACATAACAGAGCAAAGTCATCACTCCAAGACAGAAAAAGAGACCAAAAATAAGAGAGGTAAGAGACCAGGCTATTGCCTTTCCTTTCCCTCTTTTTCTCTCCCTCTCTCTGGCACTCATTCTTTCCTGAGAGATCCCCTCTGGGGGAGAAAGGAAGTCAAGCCGGAGCCCTGAACAGCCCCCTTCCGCCTTAATCAACCACATGTGACATACATACACACACACTCAATGCAATTACACTAGACTTTCCCACTACATCTCTTGAGTTTGTTTGGTCCCTTTAGACGTTGTTTCTCCACATATATTTCTTCATAAACCCCTCTTTTACATTAGAAGCTTCTTATGCTAGTTAATCTATGTAGATATATCTTAATGTCTTGTAGTAACATAACAAGCCTGTCATTATTAGCATTTTTGTCTTTTGATTTGAGAGCTTGTTTCAACCCTATAAAGTGTATGGTATCATTTTTGATACATGAATTTCTAGGGCCTCTAAATTACCAACATTATCATAACTTTGTTGGAAAAAAAATGTTGTACCTGATCTACTAGATGCCTTCTGCACACTAACTGAGAGGTCATAATTTGTAATCAAGTAAAAGGCCTTCACGTTGTGGTACATGTCTTTTTTGCAGAGATTTTTTTTAAGTAAATGTAAGAATAATTTTTAGATTGTTTTTAATATTTAAAAACTGACATTTACTGGACTAAAGAAACCTAGTTTAACAACAAAAAAAAGTAAGTACCGGTATCACATTTAATAGAACCGGTTTTTGAGGAACATTTATCTTTCTCTCAATCATCATTATACTGAATTGCATTATGTGCAATCTGCACCAATTTACATATTTTTACATACGTTTGGGCCTCATCCTCCTCAAGTATGGTTCTGAAGGTTCAATAAACTGTTCTAGCCTATTTAAAATGTATTTTACTGATTCATTGTTATGTCAGTCTTTACATGGTTAATGTGATGTCTTTAAAATAACACACACCCACACCACCTATTGGTCAAAAGTGGTAGTGCTGGACTAAGTATAAAATTCCTTGACAGGTTGCTTTTCTTCTATTAATTATAGTCATACTGGAAATTAAAAGACGTGTGGTGCATTGCTTTGTTTTGCATAATCCGTTAATTACATGAATTCACGCACACTTCATACTTGTAAACATTCAGTTTGGTATTGTGAGTTTAATTACTGTAACTAACCCTTGCCCAAGTCATTTTTATCCACTTACCCCCGATGATAGTGCGTATGAGGGAGGCATGTCCAGGGCAGTCCACCAGTGTGAACTGCAGACTGTCGTATTGTCTGTCCCCGCAGGACTGTCTCAGGTGCTCCGGTAAGGGCACGGTAAACGCACTAAAGCCGAGATCCAGCGTGATGCCGCGCTCTTTGGACTGGGGGTTCTTGTCGAAGGCTGCTGTGGATGCGGTGCTGCTCAGCGCCCGGGCGAGAGAGGTTTTTCCGCTGTCCACATGGCCGAGTACACCGACGTTAAAGTTCAGCGTTTTAGGAAGACTGGAATCTGCCATCACTGGATTTGTTGGGCAACAGAGACTGAATTCGCAGACTTTGAACTGCTGACAGCAACGCTGTTGGTTTAACCTAACCAGTTCAATATTAAACTGTCAGTAAACCAAATTGATTTAATTTGGTGGAAAGTAATAACAATCACGTATTAGTTGTGATATGAGAGATTAAATTACATGCTAAGTAAGTACATTGCTGCATTCAGCAAACTTTTCTGAAATTTGACATTTGTTCTTCCTGTGCTACCAAAAAACAATCTCTGACAAAACAGTTCAGCTCATATGAAACACTCGGTTCCACATTACAGCATTATTATTTAGAAAAGAAGCGTACCTCGTGGATCAAATTATTTATTAACTAGTAAAATGGTTTACATTATTTACAACATGTTTAATACATAATTTTTAATTTATTTACACTTCGTACAGAAAAGAAGTTTTGTGGAACCTACAGCGGTTATCTTTGTTCCAGTACAACATTTCAAATGGAGCACATACAAATGGGAAATAGGGGCGTGTTCGCAGCGATCATACAGACATTAGCGGCATCCAATGATTAAGCAGAGATTCCACAAATTCACCAATCGAAACATAGAACGACTAAAACCCGTTTCAGGGGCGGTACTTCCTCAAATCGCCTTGGTTACCCACATGGAAACGCGGGTCTCTTGTGTTTGATTTCAACGGCTTTTCATGAGTTGGACTTGGAGGTGTTTTAATCACGTTTTAGAGCGTTTAATTAACAAATAAGAAACATGAAGATCGAAGAAGTGAAAAGCACAACGAAGACGCAGCGCATCGCATCTCACAGCCATGTGAAGGGTCTCGGGCTGGATGAGGCCGGTAATGCTAAACAGTCCGCGTCCGGACTGGTGGGGCAGGAGACAGCTAGAGAGGTAACGTTAAGTTAACCTAGAGATCAATTTCAGCAATTTCCAGTTTGCGAATGGAGAATCAGTACATTTGATTTAGCTGATTAATGAATTTGATCAGTTGTATTTAACTGATTATTTGTAAAGAACGAATACAAATGATCTGATAAATGGTAACGTTATGTGTCAGGATGAGCCACACAAAATGCATATTTCACATTCACTAAGATTATATTGTTGTGATCATAACAGATCCTGAAGATTATTAATAATATTTGTAACTATTTCCTGCCATTTAGTCACTTGACATGTATGTATGAAGGACATCTTGTTTAGCTGTAAAGTGTTTCTTTATAAAAAAGAAAAGGTAACTTAATTCTTACATTTTTATTAGGCTTGTGGCATCATTGTAGAGCTGATTCGTTCCAAAAAGATGGCTGGCAGAGCTATTTTACTGGCAGGACCACCTGGAACAGGCAAGGTAAGGACTGAGAGCTTCACAACTGTTGTATGTGAAAGAGTTTATGGTTTATTAATTACATTTCTGTACCCCACAGACTGCTCTAGCATTGGCCATGGCACAGGAACTGGGAAATAAAGTGCCGTTCTGCCCTATGGTGGGCAGTGAAGTGTATTCATCAGAAATCAAGAAGACTGAAGTGCTGATGGAGAACTTCAGAAGAGCCATAGGTGAGCTCAACATACCTGTGAAAGCATCATAGAATACATTTATTAATTTCTTTTAGGAGAGACTTTTAGTAGTAAAGTTAAAATGTGATTTAAAAAAACAGTGAAATGCATTAAAATACATTTTGTCTTGTTAGTAACACACTTGCTATGTTTCCATACTATGTTGCAAATGTGCATAATTGGTATAAAAAAATAGGTGGATGGAAACATGGTTATTAGACCGACGGTTTGCATCTGAAACAATGTGGACTGTGTGATCTAGTAAGATAGGCATGCATGCACACACACATTATTACAACGTTGACAGAAATATACTGGCATGGGCAGGTGAAACGACTCGAGTATTTATTAAAAAGAATGTATTGATAGATCCACTAGTAATTAGTTAGCATTGTTTACATGTTCTGTTCTTTTTTTGCATCTAAATTTCTTCGTTCGTTTGTGCATTCAGGTCTGCGAATCAAGGAGACTAAAGAGGTGTATGAAGGAGAGGTCACTGAACTGACTCCTTGTGAGACGGAGAACCCGATGGGGGGCTATGGCAAAACTATCAGTCATGTCATTATTGGTTTAAAGACTGCAAAGGGCACCAAACAGTTGAAAGTAAGGAAGTGAAAGAGTGCTGCTTTCTTGTAAAAAAGCAGCATCTGTTTTACATTTGTTTAAAGTTATAAGTTATGTCTCATTGCGTTTGATGTGCTTATGCAGCTGGATCCCAGCATCTATGAAAGTCTGCAGAAGGAGAGAGTGGAGGTCGGTGATGTTATCTACATCGAGGCTAACAGTGGGGCAGTGAAGGTATGGACAGATTTGCTTAACCATTCTCTCTCTGGCCTATATCTGCACTTGGCATGTTGAAGTAATCTTTTGTCAGTGCAGGTGGGCAGGTAGTCTGGCAGCGGTATAAAAGACAATATTGTCTTACATACTGTATTTTTGAAAGAAAGTAGGCCCCTAATACTTGTATTCAGCCAGGATCCATTAAATTGATAAAAAGTGACAGTATAGATTTTTAAAGAAGTAGACCAAAGTTTCTTTTAAAAAAAAGGATCACAATTTCCACAATAACATTAAGCCGCACAACCGTTTGCAAATAAAAAAAAAAAAGTTTCTTGAGCACAAAATCAGCATAATGACAATTCAGCTTTGCCATCACAGGAATAAATTACATTTTAAGATATATTAAAATAGAAAATCTATATTACTTTATAATAATATTTCGCAATTTTCAGTATTTTGATTAAATAATTGCCACATTGGTTAGTAGTAACTTTATTTTAGGGCCCAATTCTTACTATTAACTTGTTGCTTATTAGCATGCATATTACTAGGATATTAGTGTTTATTAGTAGTTATATAGCACATAATAATGCCTTATTAAGCATGGACATAATCTACATCCCATAATCCTACCCAATACCTAAACTTAACTACCTTACTAGTTGATAGTGAGAATTGCACCCTAAACTAAAGTGTGGCCTGCAGTTGGGATTTCATATATTTATATAAACACAGACACACGAAATTCCACATTACATTTAGTGTAATACACTTCTCTTGTAAATAATTGACTAGCGGCTCTTATTGAGTTATTATAAGTATTTCTTGGTTTGCAGAGGCAGGGACGATGTGACACGTTTGCAACAGAGTTTGATTTGGAGGCAGAAGAGTATGTACCACTACCGAAAGGCGATGTTCACAAGAAGAAAGAGATCATTCAGGATGTTACGCTTCATGATCTGGATGTTGCTAATGCAAGACCTCAGGTACATGCACACAAACATCATGTTATCCAGCTTTTTAAGTGGATCTCCATGATTCTAATAATATCAGTGTCTTGTGTTTTCTAGGGAGGCCAGGACATACTTTCTATGATGGGTCAACTGATGAAACCCAAAAAGACAGAAATCACAGGTAACATGGTTAATATTTTTATATACTGATAATCATATTAGGATTTTTAATGAGGCCATGTTTAACCATTTATTTGTGTCTGTGTGTTCTGTATACAGATAAACTGCGAGCAGAGATCAATAAGGTCGTGAATAAATACATTGAACAAGGTGTGGCAGAGCTGGTTCCTGGTGTTCTGTTTATTGATGAAGTTCACATGCTGGACATTGAGTGTTTTACCTACCTGCACCGAGCACTGGAGAGCTCCATCGCTCCCATCGTAGTGTTTGCATCCAATCGAGGAAACTGCCTTATCAGGTGGGTTTTGGGTGGGAAACTAAGTTATGTTTCCAGTTTCCACAGTTTTGTAAAATTGTAGGATATTTATTTAGGTAGCGCATTTACAATAAAGTTAAATTAGTTTAGTGCCCCAATTATGCTTTTTCAAATCTTACCTTTAATGCTGCAAATTTAATGTGAATGTAAAAGGTCTGCAAAGATCAAAGTGCATAACAAAAAGTTATTCTCCCTCATTTACAAAATGAACGTACGACAGAAATTTGGGTGTACGATCGTTACTTGCCATTTATCAAAATGGGCGCGAGTAATGGCTACGATCAAATCTTACATCAGGTCTTAGCTCATGTACTCAAGTTTTTAATTTATATGTAAATCTGGTGGAGAATTGAAATGAGGGCATTTTGGCCATTTAGATTATTTTCCTGTCCGACAACCGACAATCTTATGGAAATTGTTGCAGTTTATTTATAAATATATTGTTCATCGACGAAATATGGAGAGCATCAGCTTTTGATTCACTCTGACAGCCGCAAGAAATCAGGAACGGTGAACAGTATGCTTGGTACATTTTTGGTCTTTAAACCAAACTTGGGTCAACAAAGTTTAAATCCAGTCTTGTCAATGGGCTTCCCATAATGTTTACGCGCTAGGTCGGATGCGTTTTCGGCTGTTGATACAAAACAGATTTTAATATATTAGTCAATGTTGAATTTAATATAAACTAAAACGCTTTAGAAGTATTTTTCATTGTTACTTTAATGTAAAAAATGTAAACTTTTTTTATATATATAAATTGTTGCCGTTTATAAATGTATTGTTCATTATTTTATCTTTATTCATAATACATTAATGTTAACTTGTATATAAATTCAGTCATTATCAACTATATGTAGATATAACAGATGAATGTTGTTAAATGTTCATTTTTAATCATATTCATATTGTTAAATGTATTTATGATGTTAACAAACTTAAGTATTTCTGATTATATTCTAATCACTATTGTAATTAGTTTGATTTTGCAGTTTGCTGTGACCAACTGTTAGAATGATTCATTTGATTGGTAATGGAGTTGATTGACAAGTTCACAGATATGCATAATTCTGTTTTAGGGGGACAGAGGACATCAGCTCTCCTCATGGAATTCCACTGGATTTGCTGGATCGAGTAATGATTATCAGAACTATGCTGTACACTCCTCAAGAAATGAAACAGGTGTGCATACACATTTTTGTCAAAATAACTCCTTAAAAACAAAGATATATAAAAGATGAAGTATAGATTTCTCATTTTTGTTTAATTCGCATGTTTCTATAGATCATAAAGATCAGAGCTCAGACAGAGGGCCTCAACATTAGCGAGGATTCTTTATCTCACCTTGGAGAGATCGGTACTAAGACTACACTCAGGTAATACTTGTTACTACGAGAACATACACATCACTCCGTCATAACGTTATATCCTACTAATATAGATCCGATTGAACTGTGTTATATTTACTTGTGCCTTGCTACCTAGATTCTCACTTATTCATTATTATGAATTTATAATTTACACAATTTATGTAATGTTGGCTAACGTGTGTGTCTTTGTGTAAATGATATGCAGATATGCAGTGCAGCTGCTGACACCTGCCAATCTGTTGGCACGAGTTCAGGGGAGGGAAGTTGTCGAAAAAGAACATGTGGAAGAAATTAATGAACTCTTCTATGATGCAAAGTCCTCTGCAAAAATCCTACAAGATCAGCACACCAAGTTTATGAAATAACTCTCTCTAGCTTTCTCTGTACGCCCTGCTATGGTTTGCCCTACTGGTTGATTTCACATTTGTCATGATATTATAACAGTATGACAAATGTACCAAGCCATGGCTTGATGTACCATGGCTACTGTATTGTTCTACATAATTATGTCTCGTTAATAACATGCTTTCAACTGGATTTTATCCCCCACTTTTGTTATTCTCCTGTAGGATAAGTACTCCGTTGTCCTTGTTTTTTTCATTGTGTTGTTTTGAAAATAAATATTTTTTTGATTGTAATGTGAAAAATAAATGGGTTTGAATTGAATTTGTTTTAATATGACATTTCCACACAAAATCAAATATTCAACTTGTTAAAATAAAACTAAACCAACAAAAAAATTTTTTTTTTTGACCTAAATAGATTAATTGTCAAAAAGTACAGTTCAGTTTTATTTATTTAAAGCCCTTTTTTACCTGGAATACAACATTTTATGGTGTTCTTAAGATCAGACTTTGCATTCAGTCTCAAAACTACTTATATTGTTGTGACACAAGTGACATGTTAGTTAAATGCCTGTTTAAAATGAACTGTTATTTCAATGTTAATGCTTTAGATTCATTTAGAAATGCATACATAAAATGAGTGTATGGTCCCACAGGGTTACTTTCTTTTGCTGGGTTTGTTAAAGGCAGTCTCAGATCCTGAGCGAACTGTGCTGAAGACGGACGGCGCGACCTTCCCAGCTTGTTCTAACAAAGAGACGGAGATATTCAGAATACACAATAATACAAACTACACACAACATCATACACATTTGAATTTCAGTTACCTCAATACAAAATTTTCCATTCATGTAAAATATACATGTTTGAACTTTGAACTAACAGAACACAGACCAAATTTTCACTAATAACTAAGTGAATAAAACAAATATACTGTAAAATACAAACTTCACATGTAAAGAATCAAAAGTGTTTATTTTACAATAATATTAATTTGTGAACATTAGTTAATATGAACTAATAACAATAAACAATACTTTTAAAGCATTTATTAGTTATTTCATGTTCACTTCAATATTTACTAATACATTATTAAATCAAAGGTTGTTCATTAATGGATCTGAGCTAACATGAATTAAAAGTTGTTATTAACTAATGCTAATAAAAAGTCTTATAATGTTAATGCAATTACTAATTGAACCTTATTGTGATTTTTACCCAATCTTTTAAGTCTTCGATGATGTCATACTTGCCATATTTTCATATTTAAGGTAACATATTGAAAGATTAATTGCGATTAATCACATCCAAAATAAAAGTTTGTGTTTACATAATATGTGCGTGTGTGCTATGTATCATTGTTTTGTATATATAATACATATGCATGCATGTATGTAATGTGCATGTAAATACATATTATATATAAATATAAATATTTCATATATGAATAACACATTTTCTTAAATATATACATGCATGTGTGTGTATTTATATATACAAAATAATTATACACAGCACACACAAATATATTATGTAAACACAAACTTTTATTTTGGATGCAATTAATCGCAATTAATCTTTGCACAGCCCTAAAATGAATACATTGTAAAATGTTGCAACTGGAATCTTAAAGTCGAGATTAGCCTATAAAGAAATAATGCAAGGACTATCTACAGGAAAATTAGTCAATATAAACACATAAGACACAATAAACATTGCACAACAAGAGTGACTATAGCGGAGTGTCCTCTCTTTGTGTTTGTGTGTTCTGACTTCCTGCTATATATGGAGTGGAAACACTATAAAATGCAAGCGCACACACAGCTCTTCTTCATCCTCTTGGCCCAAAATAAAAAAAAAATTGGGGCACTAGGATTCAGTCACATCACATTTCATCACACAACCTTCCAAATGAATTGTTACAGTTTCTGCTGATCTAACAGTTGCTACTCGACTCACCGCATTCCTGCATCACCTCGAAGGTCTTGCTCTTCACCTCTGTTCCAAATGCTAGTTTATCCCTGGCTCCAATCAAATCCTCCGCTTTCACCTCAGGCCTCTTAACTTCCTGATCCTCACTCTGCTGAAGAGAAACAGAAAATAAATCATATGCAAAAGGATATTTATTTCTTCTCAGTCTCTTTTTTCTCTTACTTGAGACATGGTCAACTCTCACAATCAGTTGTGATGTCTTAAAGCCTTGCTTAAGTTTCTCTGTTTTATACTTGTTAGATGTGCATTTATACACGCATTCACACACACACACACCCTTCCCTTGCAGAGTCCAATCCCAAATGGACCATAATTCCTTTGGCCAAGGAATGAGTCACACGGTTCCTCCTCCCATTTAATCAGTCACTATATAAACAAACACATGGTTATTTAAGGATGACATCTTCAGTACTTCCGTTAGTTCTAGCTGCTCAGAAATGAAAACAGTTTATGGTTTGTGTCTCTGCTTTTTTTGCTCATGTTGGAGTGCAAGTGTTTATTTGTACTCTGCTGTGTTTGGTGTTTTGAGGGTTGCTAAGTGCTTGTTTGTGAATGTTAATTTGTCTCTCTTGCGTATTCCATTAGAATGACATACTTTTATTGAGAGGTAATTAGGACTTATTTATTATGTCCTGCCATATACCTACAGCTGTCCTAATGTTTGAACTTTCTTAATCGTGTTCACTGGTTTGTTCATCATTCCTTCAGTCTTCTGTGTCAAATGATCTTTCAGAAATCATTCTAATATACTGATTTAGTTTTCAAGAAACATTTCTTACTATTATCAATGTCGAAAACATTTGTGTGCTGCCTAATGTTTTTGTAGAAACTGTAATACATTTTTTCCCCAGGATTCAAAAGTTCAAAACAACATTTTCGTTCATTAGAAATCTTTTCTAATAATGTAAAAATATTTACTGTCACATCTGATTTTTTCATGAGTAACACTACAATGAGTTTTCATTTGTTAACATTAGTTTACTATATTAGTTAACATTAACAATGAATACTTTGAGGATAGTCAATGGTAATTTTAACACTAATACATTTTCAAAATTAAGTTGTATTTGTCATTAATTAATACACTGAACTAACATGAACAATTATATTTTTTATAGGGCTGTCAGCTGATTAATCGCATCCAAAATAAAAGTTTGTGTTTATATCATATATGTGGGTGCACTGTGTATAATTATTTTGTATATATATATATATATATATATATAAATACACACACATGCATGTTTATTTTATATATAAAGTATATACTTGAAAATATTTCTTAAATAAATACAAGCATGTGTGTGTATTTATATATATATATAAAATAATTATACCCCATGCACCTACAAATATTATTTAAACACAAACTTTTACTTTGGATGCGATTAATTGCGATTAATCGTTTGACAGCCCTAATCAACGAAAATTAATAAACACTTCAAAAATATACATTGCTCTTTTTTTTCGTTCTTATTTCATGTTAGCTAATTCATTTTACTAATGTTAACAAATGGGACCTTCTAAAGTGTTACTATTTTATAAATCTTTGCTGAATAAAAGTATTCATGTCTTTAATAAAAAAAACGTAGAGACCTTATGGTATTGTAAGTCACAAAACAGTATATTCAGGAAACGGTTTTATTTGTACCCAAATATTAGAAGAGTAAACTATATTTTTCAGTCTTTTAAAGACAATCAAAACCAGTACCATTTAAATTGATTACATAATCCCTTTATAAATACACACCATCTATACAAAGTTTACTAATGATTTACACAGCTATAGTGTATCTAGTATGTCATGTAAAAGATACAATGTTACAAAATATTTGGTCAATGTACACCTTTGGTATGCTCATTAAAACAAGCATTAAAGACGAAAAACCATATTGTATTTCTTGGAGATAAATGAATGACAGACACATTGGAGTAGTAGTTACATACCGAGGGACCCTTTGATATATTTGCATTACATTACTATATTCTGTGTGTTTGTTCTGCAATCCAATAATACAAGACAAGAACCTTCAAACTGTCAGCATCTAAGTGAACTTCTTGTGATGTCATTAGCAAAAACTGAACATTGAGGTTCTGGGTCTTCTAGAGTAAACATTCCCATTGTTTTAAGAAAACAAAATGTGTTTGTAGAATATTACACAGTTTTAAAAACTCGAGGCAAAATCATGGTCCATAACATGTTAGTGTCAACCTCACCTCTGGAAGTTTTAGGTGTTTTCAAAGTAAAAGCTCAGGTAAGTTTCTTGCTGTATTTGGGTAGCAACTGAGTTTTGACAAACTGCACAAGTTTTGTTTCTGTTAGAAATATTGTGATGACCACACTCAGGAGACAAACCGCCCCCACGGCAACATGAACCAGCCTTAGCAACCAGCCACCATCACAGCAGAACATGCTCTGAAAGACAAAATGGTTTCAAATCAGATCTGAATTTGTTCATCAAAACATTATCTATATTTCAATGTAAACAATGAGTCACTGGCTACAATACCTCTGAGAAGCCTGTGAGTATAGAGCTCACTCCAAGGGCAATTATGACAGCAGAATGTGGGCGGAGCCCCCACAGCGGTGCACATTCACTTTGCAGGAAATAGCGATGTATGTAAATAATACTGTGAGTGATTCGTAAAGCCATGTTACAGCAATTTGCCAAAATGAAGCCAATGCCTCCTAACATCCAGGTTAGCCAATACGAAAACAGCAGAAAAGAGACTGACAGGCCCAGCATCACTAGATTATATCTAGAGAGAAAGAGAAAGGGAATCTCGTTTAAACAATTTCTTAGCAAATTACATTTTTAAATATATGTATGTTTCAAAACATAAATAAATATTTTTATGTTTTGAAACATATAGTTTGGGGCAGGTAAGTAAAAAAAAAAAGAAGAAGAAGACACAATTGTCTTTTTATTGAATTCTGTTTGCATCATTGATCTTTTTTTCTTTCTAAATTTTGATGATTTTTTTCTAAATTTTGATGATTTTCTATCATTTTTCTAATGATATTTTTGATTTGTATTATAAATTGTAATAAAAATTCACAATATTACTGCTTTTACAGTATTTTTGATCAAATAAATGCAGCCTTGGTGGGTAGAACAGACTTATTTTGACAATAGTAAAAACAGAATTATAGATCTCAAATTTTTGAACTGTAGTCAATATACAGTAATTATGTGTTGTTCACCTGTCAACCTCCTCTTTGCTCATGGCAGCAAAAACAAAACACTCTGTTACTCCATTAATAGCTAACAGCAGAACGTAACAGCTATAACACCGTAGGAGAGCTGGCCCTGCAAAATACACAAACAAACCATTTAACTTTTATGACACAAACAAAAATGTATTTATTTGAACTGAAAAGTTAGTCAAATCAGGTATCCAGTATAAGCATATATGTGTTTTACCGGCTCCGCTGCTCAGAAGCTCCCCACCATAGATGTCAAGTGCTAGATGAGAATATGCATAACCAAAAACTGAGATGATCAGACCAATCAAAAGCACCAGCTTCAAAAGACATTCCAGTACCTCAGCTGCCATGGAAACTTCCTCCTGTGAACCAATCAGCATTTTACAATTATCCAACCAACATCTGGCTGGCTGCACTAAATAAAGTTATGACCATAAACAGATACTGACTTGTTTTTGATGTCGTACATCTCGTCCACGCTCCAGGACATTAGCGAAGAACACGTAGAAACTCTCCTCAATGGGCAAGAAAAGAAATCTTGCCACCATTGAGCCCAGATTGTTGATTATATCATAAACCCCTGTGAAAAAAAGTGTAATATGATGTGTATGATAGTATAATATTTCATAAAATATAATAAACTGCCCGGCCAAAAAAGAAAGTCGCTGTTTGGATTTAAATAGGCAAATGCTTCATAGTCTATGATTGGATCATTTTTGCAGTGATTATTATGTTTTTAGCATGTTATTTCTAACACCAATTGATGGAGTGTGTAACTTTTAATTTCTTTAACAACCATGTAGGAAGACACATCACAACCATATTCCAGGATGATAATGTAATTCATCAGGCTCAAATTGTGAAAGAATGTTTGGAGGGAGCACTTCATTTTCACATATGAATTGGCACCTCTGAGTCCAGACCTTAAATTCATTGAAAATCCTTGGGATGTGCTGGAGTAGACTTTACTTTGCTGGACTCTTGCATTGTCAATACAAGATCCTTCTTGATCAAACATTGATGCATCTCTTTTTTTTTTTGACCAAGCAGTGTAGCTTGTGTTTATGAATGTACAAACTCACCCTGGTCTCCAAAGTTAAGCACATTCAAAAAAGTCATCACATAACGCTCGCCTATAAAAAATCAAAATGAAATATTTATTAACATCATTTAAACAATTACTACTACTAGTACTATGTAATTGAGCATGATAGGTACATACCTTCTGTAAGTATCTGTTTAAGAAATGACTGTTTGAAAAAGCTCCAGGTTAGTGTGGTCAACTTCCAGTTAAGCAGTGGCTAAAAACAAAAACAAATATACAGCAAAGTTGTTACACTGAAAGAAAAAAAAAATGTGTTTTTACTAAAATGTTTTACTTGTGTTGTAAACGAAGTCACACCTCGTGATCCACCCTAGATGGCAGAAGGTCTGTTATGTGATGAACAGGGAACAATTTCTTGTCTGCTTCCTCTGAGCCAAGGAAATGGATGAAGTATATCACATAACAAAAGAGCAAAAACCCTGTATAGACACACTGTCAAATGAAAAACACAAAGAATAGAGGTTACAAACTGAAATGTAACCGAAAACTACAGATGTTGTATACATTCAGTATGCAGGTACATACATACGTTACGTACCTGGGCTGCAGAGAAGATATAGAGCCCCCATTGAGGCGCTGAGACCACCAACACTACCGTAACAAGACATTTACCAATCATGGCTAAGCTTTCCGCAATCACCTGTGAATATGCATCATTTGATCAGATTGTTTCATCTTATTCAATCTATAATGATTCTGAAGTGCAATTTTAAAGTATGAAAGGCAGATTCCGACACCTTCAAACGGACAAACATGTGCGCGTGTGCAAGAACCCAAAGAGGTTCAGCCAGCAGCTCTATAAGTGCAGACAGGCAGAACAATCCAACAGCAGGAACATAATGCGGGATGGACTCTGGATCAGGTGCCTGGAGCACCCACCACCACACACACACCAATAACACACCCCACACACACCCCAGAGGAAATCTGCCAGTTTGAGAAGAAAGTCAAAGAACATTTTAGTTTTTAGGGGAAATATTCCTTATGCAATTCGCTGTTTGTGAATCTATAATTGGTGGAATTTTCATACAACATCATGGGTAATGCAGTTGTTCACCACAAATTCAGCAGTTAAACATGAAAAGTATCATTTATTTTTATTATAGTTTTTATTAACATTTCATTTCTTGTACTTACGTGAGCCATAACAAATTGATGACCTGTCTCCAGTTACGCCCCGCCCCTTCACCGCTTAGACACGCCCTCCGGAACGCCTCCCTAGACAGAAACACCAGTGTAGAATAGAGCAGCATCAACCTGTAACAAAAGCAAACGTTGCAGTTTGTGGCCCAGGGCCATTTAAACAAATATTCGAGTTTATATTGTGTAACTTTAAACCCACCTGACATTAACCACGCCCATCAGCTCCTTGGACACGAACCGTAAAGTAAATGCATTCAAGAGAAATGTCAACACTCGAAACATCACCTGAAATATAAAGCATTTCAAGAGGAATACTACTTTGTTAAATGTCTCTGATAAAGGTGTATTTAGTGTATGTATGTGCGTACACGTTGATTAATCGTACCTGAAGCAGGACATTATAAGAAGCCAGAGTTGAAGCACTCTTGAGCACATCCTCTGAGCCCATTGTGAACTTACTTTTTAAACACAACTATTTAAAATCTAACAAAATCACCAAAAATCGCCGGTGACAAATAAGTGCTGCATTAGCTTCATTGTACAGATATTTATACTATGATTCTGCACTAGTAGTATTTGCCATTTGGTATTTAACATGGTATTTCACAACTGTACAAGTTGTCAAATAAATATACTTCCGTTTACAGACATTTCAAAATAAAAGTCCGTGTATTTCGGTGACGTTTCTAACTAAGAAAGCTTTGTATGGAAATGGACGACTAGCGTTTTTTTTTTTTCAAATATTTAAAATGTTATTAAAACACTGAGCCGAGACTAAATCTATGTTCAAGTTCAATTTTTTTCATAACTTTATTTTTTAAGTACTTTTAACTTGTTTAAACATTTTACAGGATGTTGATGGGATTTTGATTCATCCCAGAGAATCGAATCTTTCGAATCACCATCAACAACAACAAAAAAATCGTTCAGTGCTCTTTTTACACTGCCAGGAGGATGCAACAGACATATTTTGTGGTGTGTACAGTTCAATAAACCATTTACTCGATTCGTTAACACCGAGTCAAATGTGTCTTTCAACACCACCACGGACCTGACCAATGGTAGAATGTGAACCTTCTTTAATTGACTACTGAACAATTTATATTGTGTCTCTTGCTGCTGTCAACAAATATATTTTTGAATTATGTGTCCATAGAAACGGGCGCAATGGTATCTAGAGAAATCCTCATTTCGGCCGCACAGAAGTTATTGTGTCCTCGTAAGAAACGTTTATCTCCGTCTACATGTCTTGACGTGACTGTTCAAATAATAGCTGTGGATCTGGGCGTCAAACCTGCGCTGTTGTACGACAGTAATGCAGCATCTCCAGAACAGCTTCACCTGTACCTCAGTTCACTGCAGGAGTATGGAGTTGTAACCAATTCACTACGGATACTGTCCATTGATGACAACACATTCATTTTTAACCCTGCCACTGTCCAGTCCCACCTGGATGAACTGCTCAAAAGCAAAAGTCTCCTTCTAATTGACGTATGTCCCTCAAGAAAACAACCTGTCTTGGCTGGCTTGGAAAAGAGAACTGAGGATATGATCAAAAGTCTTTCCGAAGTCAACACGAATGAGATGGACAAAGGCTCCTCTGTGATTCTGTTGGGAGAAGAGTTGTATAATGACTGGAACTTGTGTACTCTCTTTGGAATCCTGTTAGGTTATCCAGCCTCCTACTGGTTTGACCAAACTAAAGGATTTGGGAACTGTCTTTGTATGACACCACTGGTGGTGTGCACTGTTTGCAACACATGGCAAACACACGACATAAATCATCACTGTTGTCTTTATTCATTTAGTGTTCCTGAGGAGCTGTGGTCAGAAGTACAAAGTCATATGCAGCGGTGGACAGAGAATTTGAGAGAGAGATTTAACAAACAGACAGTTCTGACTGATCTCTGCTTTTCTAGGGATACCATCACTTTGCCCTCAGTGACCCTTTGAATAAACGTGATTTGTTTCTTTTTATTATTGTTATTTGGTCAGTTACACTTACAATTGCAAATATGTATTTTATCAGAAATGTTCATTCAGTTTAACGTTTGCACTTTGCAATCTTCATTTTTACCCTCAGTTTCACAGGCAAGGCTTAAACCTAGTCCCGGACTAAAATGCATGTTTGACTGAAAGCAACTTGCAATGATATATCTGAAAATGTCAGTGTCATTGTTTTGTCTCAAGATGCACAACAGTAAGTTGTTTTTTTTTTTTTTTCAAAGGCGCGTTTATAAAAGCTACTTAAATACCCTAACTGAACTAAAACCTAATCCTGGCTCAATCTAAGTCCTGTATATGAAACCGGGCTATAGTGTGTTTTTCCCCCTTTCTTTCTTTTTTTTTTTAAATTTTATTTATGGCTGCCTCCCTGGCAGTTTGATGAACCCCCCAGTGCGCTTCAGACCCTTGGTCGAGAACAACTGGACACATGTACTAAAAACAATCAGTGCTAATATACAGTACACAGTAAAAATAAATAAATGTCCTTTTCAAATTCCAACTTTATCTGCATACACAGTAAACTATGTATACTACTATACCAAATCTCAACTGCTTGATTGTTTATATCATCATAAAATAAAAACTATATTATTACAGCTTTAATCTGCAAAAAGTGACAATAAGCATGAAGATATTAAGATATTATAAACCTTCACATTATCGTTTGGAAATGTGTTTTGTGTAAAAGGATAATACATTTGGTTTGATTTGAGGTTTATTTTCAGGCAGAACAAATGATTAACATTTTAAAAACACCCTGATACATTCACTTATATTCATAATGAAAATATATAAATAATAGTGATAAATATCTTTAACAAAACTACCATTATTAAATAAAAACAAGTTGTATCCATATAACTCATTTAGAATATCATCATTACCATTAATGTTTCCCACATTGATTCTTGATGAGCAGGGTAACTTCTCAGAGAGTACATTCTAAATGGGAAATGCAAATGTCCCTATAAACCCACTTTATCATTTTAAAGATATAATTTAAACAACTCATTTGTACCGATGCTTTATTCTGTATTGCACTTTACACTCTAGCTAACTAACCAAGAATGTGTGAATATTTAGTAATTTGAGGTAGAGATCTGTTGCATTATGCAAGCAACCTAGAACCAAACCAAAACTATGTTCTGGTAATCTTGTGATGAGCTGTGGATGGAGTGCTGAGCTTCAAGGAAAAGAGTCTGTTTCTCAGTTGAGTTGAATGGCTGGCAGCACTTCTCCACAACGAGCACTCACCCTGATGTCGGTGAGATGATCAGCTCTTGTAGGTCCTATATTCACCATCGCTATTGGAAGTTTTCTTTCACTAGCAGCAAGTAGAAAGCGGTACCCAGAGAAAACCTGAAAAAGGAAACCAGTTACCTCCACTTTCCCAAAAGTCAAGGAAGAGAAAAGTAATTGCCTTATCTATAGGTTAGGGATACTCATTAACTAGTTCAAACTCTTGTCAAACACACACCAGAACCAACTACTTCTTAATTTGTTTATTTGAAAATTAGAACAAGGTCCACTTGAGTAGGGTTGGGGTAGGTATAATAGTGTCATTGAGATACTATTATAGTTTTTTTTATCAACATTTAGAATTAGCTTTTATTTATATAGTTTCCATTTTAATTTAATTTTAAAGTTTTAGTAACTTTGTTGCGTGTTTTTGTCATTTATGCATTTAGCAGATCCAAAGTATATATAATTACAAACAAATACATATTTATATATTTTTAATATTTAATATTTGTGATATTTGTGGTAATATTTTTTTATTTGCATTTTATATCAAGTAAAGTACATTTTTATAGTTTTAGTTAACTATTATAATCCTGGGGCTTTCACTTTAGTGAGTAGGAATGAGTAACCCTGTTCAAGGTGCATCATAAATGTTTTTGATATTGATGAAACATTACTCGCCTGAAGAGAAGATCCAGCCACAAGCACTGCATCAGACTCTGCCAGCTTGTTATACACAAAGTGAACTGTCGTCCGGTTCACTACATCACCAAAGAAGGTCACCTCAGGTTTGAGTACACCACCACAGGCATCACATGCAGGTACTCTGAAGTTCAACACCTGCTCATCCTCCAGAAACACATCTCCATCCGGAGCCACACCACATGCACTTGCTTCCCAGTCAGGGTTCAGAGCTGCAAAACGGTTCTGAAGCTCGGCACGTGGAGTCAGTTGGCCGCAGTCCAAACATACAACCCTAGGGGAAACATAAATTTGCAAGAACATATTTTTTCATATTAGACTCTACATCCCTTTTAACGCTGTAATCAATGATCATTAAAGTCACCATGAAATCAAAAATGTTTTTTTTTCTCAAGGTTTCAGGATCAACCTGTCACTCACACATGAGATCGCAGGAATAGAAAACAACACAATCCAATCAATTCCTGATGGAAAAAATGTCCCACCCTACATTTTTTTCTTGTTTGAGAAGCCGTTTCACTCAGATATGTCATACTTGAAACTTGTTTCATGCTAACTTTCAGCGTGTGCCGTTTCTGTCATCGATTCAACTACAATTTATCAGATATTGAAAAACTTAAACAATAGTGTTATCATCCAGCTCAATTTAGTTTTTGTAGAGCTGCTTTACAGCTGAAATTTAGCCTAATTGGTTTCATAATTGATGAATTTTACACGATTATTGAACTGAACAGAACTAACACTGAACTGACTTAAGCTCTTTCATGGTTTACATCATATCTCACTAATTGACAATTATATATTTCTATTCAAAACTTCAAATCTTCAATTTCTCCTCTCACTCAAGGTGTTCCTCAGGCTTCCGTTCTTGGTCCAATACTATTCAACATATACAACATCACATTATTGCATTACTGATTCTGTTAGTTTCTTATGTATTAATGTGAGGCTGCTTTGAAGCGATCTGCATTGGATAAAGCGTTAGTGAAATAAAGGTGACTTGATTGTTTGTGTGTAGACCTTTGTGTATATCTAGTTACCTGTGTGTAGATCCATGAAGTTCGGTAAGTCTCTGTTGTCCAGCCTTTAAGTGTAAGGCATCTACATTCTGAGTGACAAGCCAGTGCAATTTTCCCTTTTCCTCCCAGTCCCGTAATGCTAAATGTGCTGAATTAGGCTGGTGTGAAGAGAACTGCAGCCACCCCACGTAGTTCCGTGCCCAGTATCGCTGCCTCGATTTTGCACTCCGCACAAACTCTGAGTGCTGCATAGGCCGCCTGTTAGTCCGTGCATACAGTCCCACACCCTCTGATCTATAGTCGGGAATTCCAGATTCAGTGGACAGTCCAGCACCGCTTATTACAAACAGCCGCGAAGCCTGTGACACAAAGGCCTGGAGTTGTTCCAAAGCACTGGAGTCAATTGAACCACTTGCAGGAACAAATCGTTGTACACTAGCTTGTATTGTAGAAGCACATCTTCCCACTGCCACATGTGGAGGCAGGGATCTCCATGGGAACAGCATCTACAGACCTGTTTATAACAGCAGATAAAAACAAACAACTCTTTGTCAACAACACAATATTCTGCACAATAGTTTGTCAACCATTCAATCGTTTTTACCATTAAATGTTATGGTCTGAAATATAGAATATGTAAAAATTAATTTGTGTATAATTAATGAATAAATTTGAATATGCTTCGAAAATTACATTTATGTAAAAAATAATATGCATGCTTCCATTACTGAAGGAAAGATACTGTTAAAATGAATAGTTGACTGTGCACGGCCTTAAAAGTGTATGGAATTAAATCATTATCATAACATTACTGAACATATTGTCCATTACATTCAATGGTTTTCGACCTTTTAAATCAATTATTACGTTATAAACATAACGAATAAAATAGCCAAATCAGTTAAATCACAGTTTTGTTACGTCTTAAGGCAGTTTGTTTTGAATAAAACTTGAAAAGTTAAGTGGAATGTAACGTTATGTGACCAACTCGTTGTATAACGCTTAACGTCACTTGTTTAAATGTCAAGTAAGCAAGGACAATATTAAACGTGGAATGACATGCGAATCTATATTTTCAACACATGTTTCACATGTACAGCTAATTTAATTGAATAAAGTACCTGTATTAATAAAATCCTCAGCACCAAAAGTCTTCTATTTCGTAAACATTAGTACAGTAGTTGTAGCGGTCGTCAGAAAAGAACTTCCGTGGTGTTACACAAGTGCATGATGGTAAATGTAGTTTAGTAAACGTCCCCGCATTTTGGCACGCTGAAATATCTCTATCTTTGTTTTTGTTTTGTTTTTTGATGAAATTGATAAACTCTAGTATTGAACCCACAGAAATATAAGTATATCTTCAAATAGTATTTTATTGTATGTCAGGAATGATACAAAAGAAATCATATATATATGACCCATGCTTCTTTTTAACATTGTCATAAAGGCCATGCCATTTCATTTAGGTTGTTTAGAATATGCTGCACACATCTTGATTGCAGAACTGTAAGATATCTGTAAAAAAAAAAGAGAGTGCAATTAAAATATCCATGAATAATTATTGAAATAAGAGACATTTTACCTATGTGCATTTTTATCAAATCAAACTCTTTTAAAAATCCAGTGACTCTAATATCATAAATGAAAACAAATAATTGGTATGCAATGCATACAATAATAATGTTTCTTTTTATTCTTACTTGAGTGTGTGCAGTTAAAGATGCTTTCAGCCTGTGAATAGAACTCGTCTCCCAGAATGGTGCGATAGTCCAGGTGACTTGTGTGAACGAGGCACTTTGTAGCATCTTTAAAGAGCAGGTCACTCTCTCCATACTGCTGAGACTCAAACAGGTGGAACCCAGTATCTGGACGAGCTGCTATGGTTTCCTATAGACCAAAACACATCAGTATTCAGATTCTAAAAGACTCACAAATCAATCACATGATTATAATTTCAGTGTGCATACCTGTGACTTCATTAAGAGGTCATAAATGCGAGCTGTAAGAACAGGACGTGTCATAACAATATTTGGAGGAACTGCCCCTAAGTTACAGGTCTTCCATTCTGTCAGAGGAGCCCGAGTGCCATCGCTGCAAAGCAGCTCAAAGTCCCAAGTAAGCCAACCCTCAGCCCAGCCACTGGTGTTTAGACCTGTCCATCAAACATATCACATGTTATTATCAATGAGATTCATCCCGATGACATTTCTCATTGTGTACATCTTACGTTCAATGTTGCTCTCCAGATTGTGGTGTTCCATAAAGGCCACATCTCCAAAACTCTTCCCACTGGGGTCTCCAACCAAGCATCTGGAGTAAAAGACATTTTAAAGCCTGCAAAGCTGTATAGTTGCACTATAATACACTAGTAATGGGTGATCAGACATATTATCCTGTACACCATTTTGTTTGAACTGTTCCTCACCTTAATGCACCCATATTGCCATAGTAACGCTCATTATGGTTGTCAGCACACCGTTTGGTGGCAGCTTCTTCAGTCCCACCCATACACACCTTACATAGATTGCCTTGACCTCCTGGCAAACAACCTTTCCAAAACACCTCAGCATACACTGAAAACAGAAAGTAACATTAAATAGGACCGTTTTTACATTTTCAACTTTTTTAGTGTGTAATTTTGCTATTTGAGCACAAATTTCACTCCGAAGAAAGTTAATTCCTGCTCAGGGCACTGATCCAGCTGAGACAGGAACTAAACAAAGTTACTGAAGGTCTGGGAAGAGAGTTGCTGCAACAATATAAAACGTGGAAAATAATAAATGTGTTTTTTGTACATTCAAGTACAAGACCCCAAAAATCAAAGACTCTGTAAAAGGGCATAATATGTCCTCTTTAAATGTTAGTAACTACAATATATTTGAACAGTTTGATAAAGTTACCATCCAATAGAAAGGAAAATTTAGTACCATCATTCGGCTGACAGGGGGCGCTGCTGTTGTGCTCTGTGCTAAGCATGTGTCTTGCAGGTAAAACCCAGCCAGCAGGGCTGTACATGTGACCGTGGCAAGAGCGTCTACCGCCCAGGCTTCCAAAATATAAACTCCGGCTTGTCCGACGAACAACTGCCACACCATACACTGATGGTAATTCTGGAGAGACAAATATATTTTGTGAAGACATAATAATAGTGATGTATCATTTATGTAGAGCTTGTTTTATTTCTTATTACCATCACTTTCAAAATGGCCACCTGCTCCTTCAGGAATCTCACATTTCTCTCCTAAATTTCAAATGAACCAACAGAGAAAAACAAATCAGTGTGAGATGAACTTGAAGACATGAGTGAGTATGACTGTGGATGTTTCACATACCATAATATTCAGTCACCACAGGGACAAGGCCACATTTCCCAGCTATGAAAGCATGAGTGGCATCCAGAGAAACAGCGTCCACCTCATCCCTCTGAAAAAAATTAACAATTGTGTTTTAGATATTCACTGATACTGAGGCAATCGTCAATGTTGGTATAGATATCGAACACTAAAACTATTTTTTTATTCTTTAATTGAATTAAATGTGAAATAAAATAATATATATATATTAGAATTATAGTACCTGAAATTAAGAAATGCTGCCTTGGCAACTAGCTGAAATAAAATAGGTTTGAGTAGAAGTACTAAAATAACTAAAATTGAAATATGTTTTTTAAAGATAAACTCATAAATTAAAGAGGCCATGAATAATTTTGCTGAGGAAACCGTATTCTGTATATCTGATATATTTTTTATCTAAAATAAATTAATATAAATGAAATGATGTTTGTTATAGATATTTGTTTAAACATAAATCACAATTGCTGAAATATTGTCTTACTAGACCTTGATCTTCTCAATGCAGTCACTCATAGATGAGGCTTTTATACACACAAGAGGATCGGATTTTATGTTAAGAGCCCACTGCTCACATTTCTTCTGTTCAGCATGACTTATACAGCACCATCTCACCACACTGTCCTCCAGCGAGCTACCTAACCACAGACACCCACACACACAAAAATTAAAGTCTAAGCTTATCATTTACAAGATTATATGGCACAGAGGGGAAGCAATCTTTCACCTTCATGTCTAAGGCCCTTGAGCAAGGCCACATAGTCGAGTCCAAGAACCTGGCTCATATCCATGTCTTCCATCAGAACTAATAATTTCTCAGTCACATCTTTGAAGAGAAGGTCACTACAACCATAGGTTGCTGATTCAAACAGCTGGAAGCGCTGACGCTCCCTTCCCCTCCAACCAAATGACATCTTCAAAACAAAACAAAGCAGCAAAGGTTTTTCTCTCTCTCTCTCATAAGATACCGAAATCCTATCAGCCAAGACAATAATACAATTATACAAGAACCTGCGGTCAACTTGACACCGGCAGGTCAATCTGTTAAAGGGATAGTTCACCCAAAAATGAACTGGAATAATCATTTAAGTATCTTATTTTATATTGCATACATATTTGGAATGACATGAGGATGAGTAAATGATGACAGAATTTTCATTTTGTACCCATTTAAGATCAAGTTTTCCATTAACAAAACTCTGGGTTTGTAACAGGTTTGAGTTTGTAGTTACTGAAATGACTTTTGTTTTGATTTTTCCATTATGTATCCTACATACATTACACTTTGCAAAGTTTAGCTCCAACCCCAATTAAACACACCTGAACCAGCTAATCAAGGTCTTAATAGGCATACTTAAAACTTCCAGAAGGTTGGAGCTAAACTCTGCAGGACAGTGGCCCTCCAGGACTGAGTCTGGACACCCTCTATGCTCAGCAAATAAATAAAAAGACATTGAAACATTTCTTGTTTGTTATTAAAACTTTACAGGATGGTCGGATCAGACCATTTTTATGCGTCAGTTTTAGCCTTCACCACAAAGCATACCTGGGCAGCGACCAAGAACTTCCGGACCATTTTACGCATGTTCATTCTTGTGACCACACCCCCTCCAGGGCCTCGTCCAAGGTTACATCTTTTAAAACTGCTGAGGGGAGCATGCGTACCATCTGTACACAGCAGTCTGAACTCATCTTTCTCACTTTCTGTTGAGTAAAGTGATCAAATGAGAAAGAGAGGTCTTCATCATATAGGATTTAATCACTAGTGCATCCATATATGCATAAATGTTACACCATGAATGTACAATTTATTGAAATAAAAAGTTGTGTAAGAGTTAATTGTGTTAACCATCTATGCTGTCCAGAGCTGAGTGATCAACAAAGGCAACATCTCCTGCCCCTGACTGCAAACATCTGGAAGAAAAACAGTGACACTGTAAGATCCTAAAGGTAACTTGGCCTTTACTCGCTGATTCGGACGTAAATAGGATTATTTTAACCTGAGTGCTCCTTGGTTGTGGTAGAATGGTTCACTGTGAGATGTCTCACAATGGAATTTTTTCTGACGAATGTATGACCTTTGACCTTGGCACAAGGAACAAAGGCTGGCTGCCATTGTAGTTGCTCCAGGCACACAGCTGGCATTGAAGAAAGCGCTAACCGCTGACAAAACAGTCAAAATATGAGCACTGGGAACTCGACAGAATCATACATATTTTTGAAGACTTTGTTTGTTTAGTTTGGGAGAACATGACGGAATACTCCCAAGGTGATGTCCCAAATTATCAAGTGGCTGGAAATATACAAACAACAAAAAAATCTGGGAAATCACTTAAAACTTAATCCATTTAATCCTTAGAGATTGATCCTTTAGAGACTGTTATATAAAGTGTTGTTTAGTGTTATTTATATTCTAACATAGTAGATTTTGATGATTAAGGTTTTCATGTAATATACACTCACCAGCCACTTTATTAAGTATACTTTTTCAACTGCCCGTTAACTTCAATATCTCAATAACTCAATGCATGTTGACATGGTCAAGAGGATTAAAGTTCAAAATGGCATCAGAATGGGAAAGAAAGGTGATTTAAGTAACTTTGGGGCATTGTGGGCTAATGGTTCGAGAGTCAGACTGTTAACCCCAATGTTCTGGGTTCGATTCTCAATACAGGCAGGAAACGGTCGAGGTGCCCTTGAGCAAGGCACCTAACCCCCAATCACTCCCTCTGCACCACAGCAAAAATGGCTGCCCACTGCTCCAGGTGTGTGTTTTCACTACTCACTACTGTACTAACTTGGATAGATTAAAGGCAGAGGACAAATTCTGAGTATGGGTTACCATACTTGGCCTTCACATGTCACTTGGTTGTTATTG